GATAGAGAGACTTCATTAGAGAAGCACATGGGATTGGTGATTGCTGTATGACTCCCTTTCACTCACACTGAAGGGGTACCCATCCAGCCTGCACAGCTTTCCATGGGCAAATTGCTACCTGCACTGTCCCAGGAACCTGCCTCAGGGCCAGAGGCCTCCTCAGCCTCAGATTTACACTGCTAAGCAGGAGTCTTTGTTTTCTCTTGTTTTCTGGAGAGTTCTCTAAGGCATTGGCAGCCTTCATCCTCTAAGGATGTTCAAGTCAAGCCCTAGCCCTAACCCTCAACTCCCTGCTGCCAGTGAAGATAATAGTGACTCTGTGTTGTGCGCCTCGAAGCACAATGCACCTTTTTTCCACAGTGCACTTTGAACACATGGCACCTAGACCCTGTGAGAGCGAATTTGACTCACGCCAAACATTTTCAGCCTCCTACTAGGTCACCATGGAATCCAGATACCAAATGTCCTCCAGCTTCCATTCCCCATCTCGTCTCTCAGGAAACAAGACGCACAATGCGAGTGCTTTGGTCTGCACTTCCCTCCCAGTATCCCTGTTGCAATTAATCAGGTTCTCTAAGATTTGTAACGCTGGTTTCAAGTGGCTGAGCAATAAACTGCTTTCTTTCCTTCATCTTTCATGGCCAGCCTAATAAAGGTGTCAATTAGCTCCTTTCTTGTTAGCTAATATATAACAACAGGATAGCCCTGGACCATCGGTCTTGACCAGAGAAAGGCCAGCTCAGAGGAGATGGAGCCACAGATGAAGGGCCTTTCAATGAGGGCATAAATGGGGAGACTGGAAAGACCAAAAGAGAATGGAGAGTAGTGACCAGATTGCTGTGGCTACCAGTGAGCAGTGATGCCCTCACATCTGCCACCTTACATAGGGACTCCCCCAAGGTCAGGACCTCAGCTCTGGGTGGTGACACAGGTGGGTGAGGCCTGGTAAACCAGTGGTTGGTTACCTTTCCATCTCCTCCCAGAAGAAAGTGCATTATCCTTGCTTTGTAAATGGAGACTTTGACATCTAAGAGCACTGTTAGCCGTGAAAAAATCCACTGTAGCCCAAAGGCCATAGGCTGATCTTTTAGTTCCTCTAAAAATTAGCCTTTGCCAGATGCTCAATTCAATTCAAGACCCATTAGGCATTTCCTGTTTCTGACTTTGTTGGGCACCGTGGGAAAATTATAATAGTCAATTCTGCTCTGAGTTGCTTACGCTGTTTCTTCAGAGAGGTGAGACATGGACACTTTTCACAGGAAACAATACACCCAACTATCCATCAACCAGTGAATGAATAAACAAAATGTGGCATATCCACATAATGAAATATTATTCAGCCATTAAAAACAATGAAATACTGAGCCATGTAATAGCACAGAAGAACCTTCAAAACATGCTAAATGAAAGAAGCTATCACAAAAGACTATACATTGTATGATTTCATTGACATGCAATATCCAGTATAGGCACATCTATAGGGCATATCAGTGGTTGCTTAAACTGAGGGAGAGATAGTGACTGCTAACGGGTATAGGGTTTCTTTTGGGGATGATAAAAATGTTCTAAAATTAATTTAGTATATCCATAATTATGGATATACTAAAAAGCATTGCATTTATACAGGGGTGGGCAGAAGTAGGTTTACAGTTGTGAGTGTGAAAAAGTTTATTCTTATATTATTATTTATTTATTATTGTATTATTTGTCATATGAGCAACTGTAAACCTACTTTTCCAACCCCTGTATGATCTAAAGGGGTGAATTTTATGGTATATGGATAATATCTCAATAAAGGTGTTTACAAAAGAAACCATATGATATGCAATTGAGTGCAATTTTGTTCGGTTCTGAGAGTACCTATTTTACAGAAAATTAGGGTTGAGACACTAGTGCCAACAGAAGGCTTCCTGGATGTCTTTGATGATGCGCTTTGAGTAGGCTAGAGTAGGAGGACTCTAGAGAGATGGCTGACAGGCTTGACCAGAAGTAAGTTTTGTTGTGGGGGGAAAATGCACTTGGTGAAGAGAACAGCCAGACCTGGAGTGGAAGGTAGGGAAAAGAAGGTTGCATGGAGAGGTGGGAATAGATTGTGAGGAACCTTGGATATCAAGCAGGGCTTTAGATTTTATCCTCTATACACAGTGTAAACTTTAAAAAAAATTTTTTATTTATTGATTTTAGAGAGAGAAGGAATGGGGGAGAGAGAGAGAGAGAAACATTGACTTGTCATTCCCCTTATTTATGCATTCATTGGTTGCTTCTTATTTGTCCCCTGACCCACAACCTTGGCATATGGGGACAATGCTCTAACCCCGTGGTCGGCAAACTGCGGCTCGCAAGCCACATGCGGCTCTTTGGCCCCTTGAGTGTGGCTCTTCCTAAGCCTTAGGAGTACCCTAAGGCTTAGGAGTACCCTAATTAAGTTAATAACAATGTACCTACCTATATAGTTTAAGTTTAAAAAATTTGGCTCTCAAAAGCAATTTCAGTCGTTGTACTGTTGATATTTGGCTCTGTTGACTAACGAGTTTGCCAACCACTGCTCTAACCCACTGAGCTACTGGCCAGGGCCCCACAATATAGGATCTTAATTAGGAGCATAATAGACATAGCGCACCAAGGCCTGGAGCATCAGGGTGAGTTTGAACTCTGGGGGCAAGAAAAAGAAAGCAGGTTTAGAGGCTTTTTGTAGATCATGCAGAAGAGGTTTGTTTGCACATCCTGGTTGGGATGAGTGGGAAGTTAGGAATCCAAGCTGGAATCAGCCAGAGCCAGTCCCAGCAGGGCCAGGTCCCTTTCCTGCTTCCTCCTGGGGACTTGCCCATGTTCTCCTTGCTACCTTTTTGTCTCTGGGGCCTGTCAAAATAGGCTGTGATGCCAGCGACTAAGAATTTGAGTTGACTGAGTTTACTGTTTGACCAACGGCTGGTACAGATCACGAGCTGCAAAATGTTTAATCTGTGAGGTCACTGAAGGGAAATGAGATTGGATCAATAGGAGTGTCTGCTGTTTCCTTAAGGGTCAAGTCTGAACTGCTTTTCTTCTACTTTCTTTTGGCAAAACCACAAACCGTTAAAAATGGAAAGAATCACATTTTTTTTTTTTTTAGGACCCACAAAAGCTTATTTTTAATCAGTTGTGTGGTCTGCTCACCTTTGTGGTTGGTGTTCTTCTTGACCCGATTCACAAAAATAAATGAATGCTAACCTAGTGGTTTCCAAACCCTTTCAAAGCAACACCCCCCTTTTGATGACTCAGTATTTACCCAATATTTAAGATAGAGCCCTTGGGTTGCAGCCTTGGCACCAAAGCCTGCTTTGAGGCCCCACTGAGGAAAATTGCTCCCTGGTGCCACCTGTCTTCTTCATTCGCAAGGTTTCTAGTGGACACCTGTTTAGCACTTCAGGATGAGTTCTGTAAAATGAGGGTGGTGAAGGAGGAAAGGGAACTTACAAAGGAAGGCAATGAAGGGACAGTGTGGCTGTGGATGTGTCATTCTTGCATTATCCAGCGAGCATTTATTGGGCAATTCTTGTGTGCCAGGCGCCATACTAGGTGTTGGGGATTTAAAGGTAAATATGTCACGTCCCTACCCTCACAACTCAGTTGAGAAAGGGGCTTTTCTTCAGTGTGACAGATGTGATGGGAGGGCCCCTGACCCCAACAGAGTCGGAAGAGGCTTTGGGACAGAGCTACCAGCTGGGCTGAGACCTGGAGGGTGAGTGAACAGAACTAGGTAGAGACATGAGGCCTGCAGGGGGAGGGGCGTGTGAAGAGTCCCCGGTGTGAGCCTCTGGTGGTGAACCCTGGTGAGAAATAAGGCTTCCCCAAACAGTGGAGACTAAGTCAGGTGGTAGATCTGAGCTGCAACCAGCACTTTTTTGGTGGGGTGGACACTTGCAGAAGACGCCAGGAACACACCTGCAGCTCTTAAAGGGAAATAGAATCTGCATTTCCCCCTGGTTAGTGAAGAGGGGGGTGCTCAGGAGATGGGGAACTGCCCGGCATGGTGGACTCCTGGGTGTGTCTAGCTTTAGGCTCTCTTGTCAGTGTGAGTGTGGAGCTGTTGGTGAGAGGGATGGGTGTATGGACAGGATCCCATCAGATCTTGGGAGTTGTGAACCACATGGGCTCCAGGGAAAGGGAGGTGAGGGAGACTGGACATGTGTGTCGGGGGAGAGAAGGAGGAGGGGAAGGTGGGGGGCGGTTAGGGGGGGAGCCCGGCAGTGGGGAGGAGAAAAGAGCTTTGTGTGCACCGGCTTAGGCTGCCAGCACAAGTGTGGGTTTGGTGGCAGCTGCAGGCCTCCATTCCTAATATAGGCAAAAGCTCCGAGTCTTCTGGCCTGACACCTGTTAGCTAGGGGCTCCCCTGAGCTGACCTCTGCTGGGCTTTCTCTCCCCCATATTCTTCTTATGCGTCTGACTCATTGGGGGACCAGAACCCCACCCCGCCATCACTTGAACCAAGAGCCACCTGGTTGACACATTGCCTTCTCTCACCTTAGGTAGGGGCTGCTAGATTTTGAGGGTTTGGGGTTTGTTCAGCTGTTACTCGGGGAAAGGGGAAAGGCTGACCTAGCCAAAAGGAAATGGGGTGTTTCTCTGGAAAGTGGCCATTCTTGGCAGGGAACTGAGTGTGTGGGGAGGGACCACTCTGGACACAGAGAAGTCCTGGGGAGGGCTGGCCGTGTCCCCCTAGGATGGAGGGAAATGAAATGTGAACCGCTTAATGCTGCTGCAGCTGCTTCCTAACTTTTCCTCTTTCTACCTTTGACTTTTGGAAGAGGGGGGTAGAGAAGAAGAGATGGGGGTTCCCAGGTAGCCAGCCATTTCCTGACTGACCCATATTCCAGTCCCCACCTCCCCAGCTCTGTGGCCCCTGGGATGTGGCAGCTCAGTGCCTCTAGCTTAATTCCCTTTGTCTCTCCCTCCTCCCCTCTCCCTCTCTTCCTCTCCGGTCCCTTGGTTCCTCTTCCTGGCCCCTGTGGTGGCTGCAGCCCAGCCCTGGGGAGCCCCTGTGGAAGTGGAGTCCTTCCTGGTCCACCCTGGTGACCTGCTGCAGCTCCGCTGTCGGCTGCGGGACGATGTCCAGAGCATCAACTGGCTGCGGGACGGGGTACAGCTGGTGGAAAGCAACCGTACCCGCATCACAGGGGAGGAGGTGGAGGTGCGGGATTCTGTGCCCGCTGACTCCGGCCTCTACGCTTGCGTGACCAGCAGCCCCTCGGGCAGCGACACCACCTACTTCTCCGTCAATGTCTCAGGTTGGTAGCCATGCCCTGCCCTCACCTTCTTCCTGGTTCCCCCCTCCCACCCCTCTCTGCTAGTCTCAGGGGGAGGTGAATCTCCTCCCCTTCCATGACCTGCCCCCCATTCTGCTTCAGAAACTGCTGCCCACTAACACTGCTCCCTGCCCGCCGCGGCTTAGCTCTCAGAGGGGTGGCCAGGGGGTGTGGGCCCCAGGCTTCTCAGGTCTACCTGGAAGGTGATTGCTGATACTCTTGGGGCAAACACTGGTTTCTCTACCACAGCTGGCCCAGATTCCAGGGTGCTGCGTAGGGCTCAGCCAGCTTCCACCCTGTCATTCCCTTGCCATTTGGGCTCGGTGCTTCTTGGTTTAGTGATTAGAGCCCCAGAAAACGTTGTGAGGTCCCCGCTGTGATGGGGAAGGATCCAGATGCACCGCCATATCCACAGGGGTTACAGAAAAGATCTGTCCCCCAGCTTCTGGAGCAATTAGGGCAGCCAGGGAACCCTAGAGCTCTGTGACTTTGGGAATCTGCCACATTTAGAATGCAGCTTTCACAAAAGCAGGATGAAACAAAATAGAATGGAAATTTCCTTTATGCCATTTGTGAATCTCCGGGTGCACGCTTGGCACCTGCCCCACTTGGGCGTCCTCTAGAACCTGCCCCTAACAGGGACTTGACACCTCTATTTCCCTCCAGACACCAAAAGCGCTAGCAAGGACTAGAGAAAGATCTGGCATAGGCCCCGATTGGTGGTCACATGTGTGTCGAACCTCTTAAAAGGGATGGATACTTGTTGGGGAGAGGTGATGGCAGCTGTGGACTGTGTATTAGGCTCCCTATCTGCTCTGGCAAAAAGAGCAGCTTCCAAACCTTAGCAGATGCATGCTAGAAAAATTCCAACTGTAAGTTGTTCATGGCTTTGGAAATAGCTTCTGGCCTCAGTGTGTCTAGATCTGTCTGATTTCCCAATGGTTAGCTGGCCAAAGGAGGATCCAGGTTCCCTGGGTGCTAGTTCTGAGACCCAGCACATCCAGTGGTACCATGAGCGGGGAGAGCCTCTGAATGTGGGGCGGTATTAAATTAAAGAGGCCCGCTGCCCCTGATGAAGTGTAAAGAGCTCTGGGCAGAGAGGGGCAGTGAATTAGGTTGGGGAAGGAAAGGGACAAGCATAGAGCGTACAGTTCTTAGTGAACCGTTTCTCTCCCACTGACAGAGAGAGAGTCGCTGAGGGCCTGGGGGTCGGTATGGGGAAGGTGTCTGCGTTCATCTATCACTGGACTGGCCTTTACTAGTATGTGGAGGGGCTGTTGATATGGATGGAAATCTAGAGGAACCTCTCCCTCTGGAGGGACCTCAGAGCCCCTTCTCCTTCTCGTAGATGCGCTCCCCTCCTCGGAGGACGACGATGACGATGATGACTCCTCTTCAGAGGAGAAAGAGACAGATAACACCAAACCAAACCGTATGCGTGAGACACTGTTTCCTACCTTACTGCCCTTTGGTCTGGCTGTTGGGTTGGGTGGGAAGGGGGAGTTCAGGTGATTGGAGCACGGGAGGAGGAGCGGGCACATGGAGTGACGATGCTTGGCAGTGGGATCCCTTGGGCATCCTGATCAGTGCAGGCATTGTTCACAAGTGTTGGGCGGTGGGCAGGGTGTCTCCAGGTCCTGGCCTGGGCCCTTGCTCCTGAGCCTGACCAGCCCCGCCTGTCTCTCTTGGCTTTTCCTGGGCAGCCGTGGCTCCGTACTGGACGTCTCCAGAAAAAATGGAAAAGAAACTGCATGCAGTACCAGCTGCCAAAACAGTAAAGTTCAAATGCCCTTCCAGTGGGACCCCTAACCCCACACTGCGCTGGTTGAAAAATGGCAAAGAATTCAAACCTGACCACAGGATTGGAGGCTACAAGGTATGTGTGTCTGTATGAGCGTTAGAGTAGAAACGGGAGAAGCTGGTTAAAGAAATCCTTATTCTATGCCTTTACTTGTTTCAAATAATGCTTTCTAACTATAGAAGTAATACATTTTATAAACATTTCAAATACAAAAATGTGCAAATGGAGTTGAATTTTTCAGTCTTTTTTTCTGTATATGGTTTTTAGTTAGTTAATTTCACCGTGTATGTACTTTCTTAACTTGTCACATGTTAACATTATAGCAAGAGTCTTTTGCCATGCATTTTAAAGATAACTTTTCACAAGTGCGTAATATTCCATTATTAAAATGTCCAGTAATTTGATGAACTATTTTGTGCTACTAGTTTTTTCTAGTTTTTCAATATTATAATTAATATCACAGTTAGGATCTTTGTACTTAAATGTTTGTCGGCATTTTTAAATGTTCTTCCTTAGGATTGCTAGAAGTGAAATTACTAATTCAAAGTGCTAGCATTTTCTTTAAGCCCTTAATGCATATTACTCAGTTACCTTTTTCCTGGTAATTAGATTTTTTTTTTTTATTCACATTCATTTATTACATGAACATTTCTTTGAACACATGTCTTTCCAGAGAGTATACTAGGCAAGAGAGAGTTCAAAATACAGTGGGAAGATGTAACATTTTTATTGTGACATTTGCTCTAATGGAGGATGATATGGGTAATGAGTTGAGTATAGCCTTATTTTATTTTTAAATTTTATTTTATTGTGGTAACAATTACTTTTTTAAAAAGAAATTAATTCGCCCTCCCATAACAAAGCATGAGAATAAGCTCACTAGACCTTTGCCCCCAGATTTGATAAGTGAAAATATCTTGTTTTCTTGTGTGTTATTTTGCTTGTCAACAGACTTAGAATTTTCTTATGTTAATGAGCAATTTCCATTTCCTGTTGTGTAAATTGTCCGTGTTCTCTGCCCATCTACGTTGTAGGAAGAACATCTTCACTGGAACCTCTTTTTTAGAGTCTCTGGTCCTCCTCATAGTCCCTGTTTCTCTCCCATCCCCACCTCGCTGCTCTTTTCTCATTAATCCTATCAAGAAAAGAACTGGAGAGCAGGAAAAATAGGGAACGTTTTAAATGTTGCTGTGTATAAGACACTGTGCTGCGAATGGTACAAGACAGCGCTCCTGCCGTAAAGCATTTCAGTCTCAGGAGGGCAGGTGTCCATGGGCACTGTCATGAAAAGCAGGCTGTGACCAGTGTTTCATTAGAGGGACAGTGAGAACAACGCTGACCCCTGATCAGGCTGGAGGAGCCAGCTTTTGAAGTGAGACATCAAGGGCAGACAGGGCCAGGCTCTTCCCAGGGAGCCAGACCCGCACAGGAACAGCCTGGATAGAGCGCAGCATTTGGGAAAGTTCCCGGTGTATTTGGGGGAGTGCAGAAGGCACATTTGTCCAGGTTATGATGGCCTTGGCTGTTGTGGGCAGATCCAGAGTTTGAGTGTGAATGGGCTGGGGTGGGCAGACCTGCCTTGTCCTGTCTCCCCGTGCTGCATGGGCCCTGTGCTCTGCTCAGATTGGAGGGTGAGTGCCAGGAAGCGCCAATGCTGCCATGTGGCTTCCGCCTGCATTTTCCTCCGCACCCTCAGTGGAGCCCTTCGGCATGTCTCCCCTCAGGTCCGTTATGCCACCTGGAGCATCATCATGGACTCCGTGGTGCCTTCTGATAAGGGCAACTACACCTGCATTGTGGAAAACGAGTATGGCAGCATTAACCACACCTACCAGCTTGACGTTGTGGGTAAGAATGCCAATGGCGGCAGGAGGGAGCTTAGAGGACAGAGAGAGCAGGGGCGTTGAGAAACCAGCCATGAGATCCAGCTTTAGTTAGGGATAGAGCCAGGATGGTGAAGGCACTTTATAGCTCTGTCACTTTAAGCAGGTCACTTTCCTCTTTGTGCCTCGCGTATCTGTAAATAGAGTCAAGAGGATCAGATAGTGCTATGACTCACTACACAAAGTGAAAGGTGCTGCTGATAGTCTCTCCTGAAAGAGGTGACTGGAGTAGGGATGTGAAATTCAGCCTAACAGTGGCTCTTGCTTCGTGAATGTCAGCAGTGTGCTACACACTTAAACACGTCACCTGCAATTCTCCTGGCACCCCCGCAAGGCAGGCACTGTTATTCCTGCTGTACAGAACAAATGGGCTCAGGGAGGTCCATGCTGACTCCAGGGCATCGCCTGAGACCCAAGGGGCTGTTCTGACTGCCTATTCCTTGTAGACAGTCTGAATCTCATTCTAGGAATCCTAAGGTAAAAGAGTTTCACAACCAGCATTCTTTCTTGGTTTTGAGGAGATGGTCTAAAAAGAAGCTTCTGGGCCATCCAGCATTTCCAACAAGCTTGTAGGTGATGCTAGGCTGCTTCTCTGGGACCACACTTGTAACAGCAAGAGGCTAAGTGACTTCCCTTTGTGGTCTTTGAGATGCTGTCTGTCAGCATTCCTGACAAGCCTGTCCTCTCCCTTCCTCCACAGAGCGGTCCCCTCACCGGCCCATCCTGCAGGCAGGGTTGCCTGCCAACAAGACCGTGGCCCTGGGCAGTAATGTGGAGTTCATGTGTAAGGTGTACAGTGACCCACAGCCCCACATCCAGTGGCTAAAGCACATCGAGGTGAATGGGAGTAAGATTGGCCCGGACAACCTGCCTTATGTCCAGATCTTGAAGGTAACCTTGACCCCAGTCTCCGTGGGCTGGGTGCTGGGAAGGAGACCAGTATTTCCTGGGACCCAAGTGGCTGTGGCCTGGCTCCATGCCCACGACTGGGACTCATCCCTTACCCTTTCGGCGCACATGCTCCATCTTAAATAGGGACCTAGCCACGTTACCCAGGACTAGTGACAGGTCACAGAATGGAGGTGTGATGGGAGGTGGTTGGGCATTGCTGGTTCCTGAAGACCTTTGAGAGTGACTTCTGGGTCAGCTACTCAAGGAAGGCCTTCGGAGGCCCGCTTCCCCGTTGCTCAGGACCATAGATAGCCCTTCCAGCAAGCATTTCCCCGTCTCGGTCCTCTTTTCCAAGTCACATTCTTTCTGGCAAGTAGGGTGACTGATAAGGGCACGGCTTAATTAGAGTTGAAACAGCAAATGCCACAGGTAAATTCTAAGCAGCACGAGGAGTAATGGCATTTTCTTCCTTTTTCCTGTCACTCCCAGACATTTGATTGTCCCTGAATGCTCCATTAATCCAGGGAAGGTAATTGCCTAATTCTCCAGTGGATCTTGCAACAGGAAGTAACCAGAAGCTGGGAAAGTGGTTTACCTCCTGGTCCCAGAGTTAGACCTCATCCTCCCCTCACTCGGCTGTCCCAGAGATTTACTGGCCATCCCTTCTCTTCACTACGAGTGCTGAAACTGCGGTGTGGGAAACGGTCTGTCCCTGGCCATTCATAGTCCCTGCCGTGGTCTTGGAAAAAGGAGTTCAGTATAAACAGCATTTGATTGGGGGCAGTGCTTTTTTTTTTTTAAAGTTTATTTTGCAGTCAAATGCTTCAGACTTCTTTTGTCATCCTAAAAAGGGAAAGATGATAAATCTCAATGTCTCCGTTGCCTTAGCTCCCTGTCTTCACATCACATGGGAGCAAAGTATGGCAACATCTCAGTGTTTGCCCAACTGACTGGCGTGTCGTTGGTTTGTTCCAGCATTCGGGGATTAATAGCTCGGATGCGGAAGTGCTGACCCTGTTCAATGTGACAGAGGCCCAAAGCGGGGAGTATGTGTGTAAGGTTTCCAATTATATTGGTGAAGCTAACCAGTCTGCGTGGCTCACTGTCACCAGACCTGTGGCAAAAGGTAATGGGGAGATGGATGGGGCCCTGTGCTGGGAATTTGACTTCGGCCCCAAGCTGCTGGGGCCGGTGGGGAAGCCAGCACCCAGCTCTCCCTGTTATCCTGCTGTGTTTCTAGTGCCCAGAGCCATGGAAAAATACCCGGCCTGGGAGGCTGGTTTGGTTTGGTACTGTGTTGGTGTCTGCTCCCTCTGTGCCTCCTGTGTGTCCCTTGGCTGTGTGTGCATTCACAGGACAGTCTTGCTGCACTACATTTGTGCAGACTGGAGGTCTGAGTGGTGGGTATGAGAAGGGACCAGGCATTCCGTAGAGAACCACCACCCTCAGGCCGTGTGTGTGTGTGTGTGTGTGTGTGTGTGTGTGTGTGTGACTGCAGCACCCTTTCCATCCCTCCTGTGTGTGCCCTTTGACTTTCTTTACCTGAAACCAAACAGCCCCCCCACCCGCCGGGCCCCATTTCTCCATGCTGCCCACCGCCCGCATGCTTGGATGGGCCAGGGGCTGCCAGCGTCTGGTGAAGGGTCGTAACCAGCCCGCGGCGTCGCAGGTCTGCCGGAGTTCCTCCTCAGGGTCTCACTCTCTTCCTCTAACAGGTCTCGCTGCCTGGTGGTTTTGTTTGTTCGTTGTCGCAAAGGAGACGCTGGGGAGCATCTCTTCCTCTGGTTATCCACCCCCTCTTTCTTCCTCCCTCTCTCTGTGTCTCTTAGAGGTCTCACGTCCGGTGCTTGTCCATTTTGCTTCCGTTGTCTCTTCTAGACTGCCGGAGTTAATACCACCGACAAAGAGATGGAAGTGCTTCACTTAAGGAATGTCTCCTTTGAGGACGCGGGGGAGTATACGTGCTTGGCGGGTAACTCTATCGGACTCTCCCATCACTCTGCATGGTTGACCGTTCTGGAAGGTATACACTGTACTTCTCCTCTCGATGTCCTGCCCTCGCCACGGGCACGGGGGGACCATGCATTGCGGGGCTGGGGGAGACACAGAGGCAGGAGAGGTCGAGGAATGGGCTCCAGGGGGCCGGTAGGCGGCTCCAGCCATTTGTCCAACCATGAGAGCCGATTCCTCAGGCTCCCACAGGAGCTTTCCTCGTTTGCAAGAACACGGAGGCCTCCACCTGTACACCTGCATCTGGCTCTCCCCTGGGCCCACGTAATGCATGCATGAGATCTGGATTTAACCTTGACTGGGCTCTCCTCCAGGGCAGGCTCCTTCCATCCTTCGGTCCAGCGACTGTCCCTGACTTGTCTGACCCTTTTTGTCCAGCCCCCCAAAGTCTCAGAGAGGGCCCCACTTCTCCTCTAACTGAGTGTAGGCACTCTAAAGAGGGGCTTGCTAGCATTGCTAGCCCAGCCTCCTGTACGGCCGCCCTCTGATCTCGGGAGAGGTTCTACCCAGTTGAGTCGACTTGAGCTGAGTGAGGCCTAGTCACGGGGGCTGCTGGTGCCCGTGTATCCTCTTTGAGTCTGGGTGTTGGGCCAGGAAGGAAGGAGCCCGCAGCCTGTTCCGGGTGGTGGGCTGGTGACTGCAGGGCTGGAGTTGGTTGTCGCTGCCTCTCTGAGGGTCCTGCATGTGGGTCTGGGTGCTGTGCTGTTCTTGTTGCTGCTCACACTGCCCTCTCTTCTCCCTCCTCCTCTGCCCTGCTTGCCCTCCAGGGTCTGATAACGCCCCTGCTCGAGGCAGAGAAGTGTTCTGTTTTTGTCGTTGTCACTGTCTTTGTCAGTGTGTGCTCCCACTCACTTGTCTTCGTTTCTCAATGCTGGGGAAAGAGAAAAACAGAAACACTTCTTGGTATCAGCTCTGCAGTCTCCTTGTCAGGCCTGAAGTTCTCTTGGGGCTCAAGCAGGGTCACACCAGTGCCTCTTGGGGGAGGTCCCCAGTGGGCTTGCCTCTGGGCTGGCTGGAGTGTTTTAAAGGGGAGGGTTGGGGGAAGGCTGTGGAAGGAAATGGGATGTGCACACTGGTGAGGATGGTGTGTTCTCCGCAGCCAGCGCTGTGGGTGCTGGATGTAACCCATTCTCATGTGGGAGGGAACAGTGCATTGAATGGATGGGTCTCTGTGGGAACGGGGTGGATTCTAAGTGGAAGATGCAAGAACTGAATAGAGCATGCCCCCTCAGTTTGAGGAGTTCGGGCTGTGGGCAGTATTCCCAAGAACTACAGAAACATTTACACTTCTCATCTCGAGCAGTGCAGACACGTTGGGAAATTAGTCAGTTTTGCCTGTGGTTTGGCTAGGTGTAAATATTTACACATCTGACCTGAGACAGATGACAGAAGTGAAAGGTGAGATATGAAGTGAGGACATAGGCACACTCTTTCCTCCCACCCTCATTTGTCCTCCTGCAAGTGCCACTATAAGCCAGGCGCTGTGGACTACAGAAAAATAACCAAGGTGCCATCCCCACCCTCAGACCGTCAGAGACACGATGGTCAATCTGCCCCAGGTGATAGGTGTGTGCACACCGAGCTGAGGCGCTGCAGAGAAGGGCCATGTGCTTTCATGAGGAGGCTGAGAGGGATGTCATCCGCCCCTTGCAGGGTACCTGGTTCCCATGTAGCCCAGCAGTCCAGCTGAGCAAAGGGCTCCCGAATTAATGAGGATGGGCCACGTGTAGCAACATGGTTCTAGCTCATCCCTCCAGGAGGATTCGGGTCAGGATCAGCAAGCTCCAAGGAGCACAAGATATCTGATCTGCTCCATGCCAGAGCCCCAATCCTAGCTAGGATTCTTCTCTGCCCTAAAGATCCCCAGAGGAAAGGAGATGGGTGTTGTTTGTTCTATGGAGCTAGGAGCTAGGAATCCTAGTGGCTGGGCCCCCGGAGCTTGCTAACACCCTATTCACACTGACTCAGCCCTGGAAGAGAGACCCGCAGTGATGACCTCGCCCCTGTACCTGGAGATCATCATCTACTGCACAGGGGCCTTCCTCATCTCCTGCATGGTGGGGTCTGTCATCATCTACAAGATGAAGAGTGGCACCAAGAAGAGCGACTTCCATAGCCAGATGGCCGTGCATAAGCTGGCCAAGAGCATTCCTCTGCGCAGACAGGTAACAGAAAGTAGATAGGGGATTTGCACGCTCTGCCTCCCTTCTCTCCCTGTGCCCCCAGGGGCTTCTCGAGGAACCCCTAACTGCCTGCCTCCCCACTGTCCCCAGCCTGCTGCTTCCAGCTTTGCTTTCTGGCTGTGGGCCAGGGGCAGGGGAATGTCCTGACCCAGGTGCTCCCTTGTCAGGTGCCCAGCCCATGAATTCCAGATGCCCACCATACCCCAGCTGCAAGTCCCCTGCCCACCTGGCACATGGATCGGGAGAAAGTCCTAGCTGGGGCAAATGTGCATTGGCTACTGCACGTTGGAACTATCCCCAAAGGCCAGTTAGAGGTGCAAAGATACAGAATAGAAAGGAAGACCTGAATTGGGTCCCAAGATGCCCTCTCCTGTGTGCCCACCCTCCCCTCCTCCAAGGAACTGGAACAGAAGGTGAAGGCTGTAAGAGGAGGGAACGTTCATGCAGAACTATGCTAATTATGGGAGGCGCTTTGAAAGTTAGAAATCCATGATCAGAGGCAGGGTTTTCACAGAGTCAGGACAGGGTAGAGCTGTTGTTGCAGTGACCATTTCTGTCCGTTTGGGAGAGGTACGTAAGGTCTGTTCATGTTAAAGGTGAGTTAACTGAAGCCCAGTAAGGCTAGCTGGTGGCAAAAGAAGTCCAATTTAGACCTTCGGCCTTCTGACCTCTTTGTAGTCTCTCTGCCGCTCTGCCTGGGAAGGGACATCAGGTAACAGATTATCCCTCTGCCACTGGTGAAAAGCCCTGACTAGCAGTTGGAAGAATCTGCGTCACTCCCCGCCTCCTCGCTAGAAGGGTGACCTAACGCTTCCCTGTAGGTGTCGGCTGACTCCAGCGCATCCATGAACTCCGGGGTTCTGCTCGTGCGGCCCTCCCGCCTCTCCTCCAGCGGAACCCCCATGCTGGCTGGGGTCTCTGAGTATGAGCTTCCCGAAGACCCTCGCTGGGAGCTGCCTCGAGACAGGTAATTCTCTCAGCTTGTGAGGAAGTCCCCTGCGTGTAATTCTGACAGTGGGAGTTGTATGTACAGAGACCTTCTAGGGAGCGAAGGTGCACCAGGTGTACCCAGAAGTAATTTCCGCCCAGTTGGGTGAAATACGGAGAAGTAGTGATGGGATGCCCTTGAACTTCACCAGCCCCATCTTATACCACTCTTTGTTTCCCCAAAGACTGGTTCTAGGCAAACCCCTGGGAGAGGGCTGCTTTGGGCAGGTGGTGTTGGCAGAGGCCATTGGCCTGGACAAGGACAAACCCAACCGTGTGACCAAAGTGGCTGTGAAGATGTTGAAGTGTAAGTGATGCTTCCGTCCTGGTAAAAACGGCGCCTTCCCTTGCCAAGCGAACTGTGGGCCTTGGGCCAAGTGGAACACCCTCTCTGGTGCTCTTTCCTTGCCCACACCTGCTACACGCCTGCCTAGGGTGGCCTGGGAGTGGAGGGGGCACTCTGCCCCCGGGGAGTGCCATGACCTGGGGCCAGCCTGGGTTGTGGTCAGGTGTTCATTCTAAATTCCATTGCTAGCTAATTGTCCTTACCGCTGCCCCACTCAGCACCGCATATTTCCACAATGGCTGTCATGAGAGGGAAGGGGAAGGGGAGGAGAGAAGCCACTCGAGGAGAAAAGGGACTCCTTGGGCATACACCTCACCTCATCCCCGTCCCTTAGCTTTTCTCCTGTCGCCCTCCCTCCCAAAGTAAATGAGTCTCCTCCCCTTCTCTTGTTTGTGTGCAAAGCGGATGCAACAGAGAAAGACCTGTCTGACCTGATCTCAGAAATGGAGATGATGAAGATGATCGGGAAGCACAAGAACATCATCAACCTGCTGGGGGCCTGCACACAGGATGGTAGGCACTGAGCCAGGCCGTGCTCCCACCCGCTCTGGGGGAGGGTCTCAGATGGGAACCTGGGCCTGCTGCTCCCATACAGTATCTGCCAGGGAGAAGATACTGAGCTGGGGTATCGGTGACCAGGCATCTGTTAGCCACGTAGGGAAGCGGCATAAGGAGAGAGGCAGGGTCAGCAGTAGTTGGAATGTATGGGGTCTGAGCTGATTCCCCTTTGTATTCATCTGAGAATACAGGTACCTAGATTCAAAGACACTGTGTGGATAGGAACAGGTGGGTAGTAATAGTGGTCTAGATTAGGGCTATTAATCCCAGTTTTGTTTGGCAGCTTTCTGGACTATGCTGGGAAGAATTAGTTCCCTGCCTCTCTCTGAGCAGTGGAATGAATTTCCCTGGTTCCCTAGAGGGGAGCTTAGGTCAGGGTGTGCCATTGGGTGTGGGGTTTTCTCCAGGTGAAGCGAAACCTGCGTACTGGCCTGATGGCCTCTCCATCCACACTCACCCGCCCCCTTCCCCCAGGTCCTTTGTACGTCATCGTGGAGTATGCCTCCAAGGGCAACCTCCGCGAGTACCTGCAGGCCCGGAGGCCTCCTGGGCTGGAATACTGTTACAACCCCAGCCACAACCCCGAGGAGCAGCTCTCCTCCAAGGACCTGGTATCCTGCGCCTACCAGGTGGCCCGAGGCATGGAGTATCTGGCCTCCAAGAAGGTATGGCACCTGCCGGCTCCCCTGGGTGATGTCGGGGTAGGAACAGATGTCCAGTTTATGACTCTCTGTCCTTGGTGGAATGGTAGACTGATCACTGACTGACTGTATGTGCTGTCTTAGGCTCTCAGGAGACACCAAAATCAGGAGAGCCAGTGTAACCTGTGTGGCCTGGGCTAGGTTCAGCTCTGTGCACTGCCACTTTCCGAGCAGCCTCGGGCAGCTACTTAACATTTTCTGTTTCTTCAAATATAAAGTAACGATTATGGGAGAAATATGAAGAGTGAGAGTGTTAAGGACCAGTTTTGGGTGCTCAGTAAATGCTGGCTTTGGGCCCCAGCCCAGTGCAGTTATGCTGGGCCTGGGGAGATGGAGCTTGTGAGCACACTTCCGTATAGATTGGATAGAAGCATCAAGGTTCAGCCTTTCCGGGTACAGATCCAAAGCTAAGAGTTGGAAGGACCAGGAGAGGAGGCAAATACAGGGGCGCTTGCTAAAGTGATCGAGAAGCCGGGAGCTGGGGGTGTTTGAATGGCTGGGTCTGAAGTGGAGAAGAGGGACCTTGTAGCAGGGAACGGGCATGTTTAGGAGGTGAGCGTGTAGCAGGAGAAAGCCTGGGAGTAGCTGGGCCTGCCCGCCAGCTGCAAAGTGAGTGCTGGCGTGCAGTGTGACTCAGACAGCTGGATGCGGACACCTGTCTACAGTTTTATGGCCTCACCTGCATCCCACCCTCCTCTCTCCCATCTCTTCCTCCCCCGCCTTCCCCTCCTGCCTCCACAGTGCATACACCGAGACCTGGCTGCCAGGAATGTCCTGGTGACGGAGGACAATGTGATGAAGATCGCGGACTTTGGCCTCGCTCGGGACATTCACCACATCGACTACTATAAAAAGACAACCAATGTAAGTGCTGACGAGGCCACTAGGTGCATGTCCTCTGCCCCAAGACTCTGCTGTGCCAGGCTTTCTCCCACGTGCACTTCTCTGCTGTAGCCCAGTGCAGGTGGCTTTGCCTGAGAAACTGGGGTGGGATGAGCTGAATGTGTGCATTCCTTCCCACGTCCAGTCCCTCACGTACCCGCCTCCCTCCCTCCCTACTCCCTCGTTGCTCTGCCCTGGGCCACCCCAACTTCCCCATGCTGCTTGCAGGGCCGACTGCCTGTGAAGTGGATGGCACCCGAGGCATTGTTTGACCGGATCTACACCCACCAGAGTGATGTGTGAGTTTGACATGGGCAATTGCCAGGGATGCTTGGGATAGAAAATGCCTGGTACAATAGAGTCCTGTCCTCCCCTCTGAATTGAAGAGGGTCTCCTTCTATTTTGAGGAGAAAACAAAACAATATGTTGTATATAACCATTTACTTTGTTCCTGGCAGTGGAAAGGCCTGTTTTCTGCTCCCCCCTGGTATTCCCCTGGGAATTAAGGGTTTTCATTGGAGAGGGTGGTTTTGGGATGAGTAGCTGACATGCTGGAGAAGGAGAGATGGAAAGGATTTTAGGTTGGCCCATTCCTGTGCCCACAACACCCATGGGCTCTGTGCTCATCCACAGGTGGTCTTTTGGGGTGCTCCTGTGGGAAATCTTCACTCTGGGAGGCTCCCCATATCCTGGCGTGCCTGTGGAGGAGCTGTTCAAGCTGCTGAAGGAGGGTCATCGTATGGACAAGCCCAGCAACTGCACCAACGAGCTGTAAGCATGAGAAGATGCCCAAGGTCCTGAGCTAGGCCCTGGAGGCCGAGCGAGCGGGTTTGCCGGGAAGAGGAAGAAAAGGGGTGTTTAGCTAGAGAACACAGCCACTCCTGGCAACTCCTCCCACAGTTCCTCCTCCGTAAGCTACTTCATCTCTCCACTTACGTGTTTCCTCCCCCGACCTTACAATCCTGCCGCAGGTACATGATGATGCGGGATTGTTGGCACGCAGTACCCTCTCAGAGGCCTACCTTCAAGCAGCTGGTAGAAGACCTGGACCGCATTGTGGCCTTGACCTCCAACCAGGTGAGGCTGTCCGTGCTAGCCCTTCAGTCGTCATCACTTAGGTGCGTCTCTGTGAATTAAACTGCCTTAGGGAGGAGAGTGCTGATCCATTGCTCTTCTGTTTCTCCCAACACAGGAGTATCTGGACCTGTCAATGCCCCTGGACCAATACTCTCCCAGCTTTCCCGACACCCGAAGCTCTACCTGCTCCTCGGGGGAAGATTCTGTCTTCTCTCATGAGCCGTTGCCTGAGGAGCCCTGTCTGCCCCGACACCCAGCCCAGCTTGCCAATGGCGGACTCAAACGACGCTGACTAGCACCCCAGCACTGCCCTCCCCAAACTCCATCATCAGCTGTAACTCACCCATCACTCCCCACAGGATTCACTGCCTCCCCTTTGCCCCTTCCCTGCTGGCGGGAGCCAGCTGCCTACCTGAGGCCTTCACCCCACTGAGTTCGCCTCTCTTCCTCCTCCTCCTCTCAACCTGCTTATGAGAGAGAGGAGTAGGGAGGCTGGTACTTGCTGATGGCCACTCCGTTCCCTCCCCAATGGTGGACCAAGACCCCTCCCCGCCACCTGGCACTGCCTAGAGGGGTGAGTGGGAGGTAAGCGTGCTGAGCAGGCAGGTTGGCGAGAGCTGACGGAGCTTTCTCGTGTTGGTTTTGTCTGCTTCACCGCCACCCATAAGCCCTTGTGTTCCGGTAGCAGGTGCCTCGTCCTCAAGGCTACAGTAGTAGGGAGGGGAAGTCTCTGCTTCGGGCCTCGGTTGAAGGCAACCTCTGCTCCAGAGAGATGGTGCCATTGGCTTATTAATTCTGATACTAATTTGCTTTGCTGACCAAACACTTGGTACCAGAGGACAGGGAGGCGAAGGCTGGGAGCAGTGCCGTGGCCCTGGGGCCCAGCCCCAACTGGGGGCTTTGTACATAGCTATGAAGAAAACACAAAGTGTATAAATCTGAGTATATATTTACATGTCTTTTTAAAAGGGTTGTTACCAGAGATTTACCCACTGGGTAAGATGCTCCTGGTGGCTGGGAGACATCAGTTGCTATATATTAAAAACAAAGAAAAAAGAAAAAAAAAGGAAAATGTTTTTTAAAAGGTCATATATTTTTTGCTACTTTTGCTGTTTTATTTTTTTAAATTATGTTCTAAACCTATTTTCAGTTTAGGTCCCTCAAATAAAAATTGCTGCTGCTTCATTTTTATATGGGCTGTGTGACAAGGGAGAGAATGTCAACCAAAAAGGAGCAAAAATGATGGGCCCTGGTCTGTGTCTGTCCGGAGGGCCCTGCACATTCCCTGCAGTTTCCTCCTAACCTCTTCCTTTTAGGTCCCGGACTGAGACCTCCGGACAAAACGCCCACTTCTTGGATGCTTTTGGAAAGGCAGGAAAAGAAGACATCTGCGTAGGGAGCAGGAACCTCCTGCCAGTGCACCAGAGGTGCCTGGGCCAAAGCCAAGAACCCCCCCCCCCCCCCCGCAGCCCTCAACCACAAATTGTTTCCTCAGGGGAAACTGGTGGGGTCGGGCAGGTCAGAGGGTCAGAGAGGGAGCTGGGAGCCTCTCTCAGAATAGCCAAGGCGTAGAACTAAAGAGGTGGAGGAATGCTAAGGATGATTCCGACAGGGGCGTGCAGAAACTCAGACCCAGATTTGCATCTACGCCCTCTGTGTGCGTGTGGTTTTGCTTGTGCTGCTGTGGAAGGAGAAGCTTGTCACCTAGGACGAGGTCTACATTAAAGTCCCTTGCTTCATGTTTTCCAGCCTGCTCTGTGTTTGTGATCCTCCCCCACACCAGTCCCCACGTGATCAAACTGCATGCGTTGGGACTATCACAGATCTTGGCTTCCTATAGTTCTTCCTGTACAAACCCCACCCCCTCCCTCAGGAAGGGAAAAATGCTCTAAATGTTTATGGCAGCTTGGAAATTCACTTCCTCTGCCACCTGCTGGTCGTCTCTGCACTTGCCAAGTGTGTCCTGGCTCCTCTGAGCTCCGTGCTCAACCTGCTCCTGTGCAGAGTCTAGCCAGCGGTTCTCAACCTGTGGGTTGCGACCCCTTTGGCGGTCGAACGACCCTTTCACAAGGGTCTCCTAAGACCATCCTGCATATCAGATATTTAATTACAATTCATAACAGTAGCAACATTACAGTTATGAAGTAGCAACGAAAATAACTTTATGGTTGGGTCACCACATGAGGAACTGTATTTAAAGGGCCAGAAGGTTGAGAACCACTGCGTCTAGACCGAAAGCTTCTTTTTTTGCCGTACGGCTAAATACAGAAGAAAGTTCACTGTGCTTTCATTTCTGTAGAGAAAATGGGATTGCTGCCCTATGTTCCTTTCTGAGCTAGCTGGGGGTTTTTTGGCAGCTGCAATGTTGGCTACAATTGTAAATTAGTTCTCTTTCCTTGTGTCTCTGTAAATATGCAACTGTCAATCTATTACAGTTTGTGTTTATGTTTAATGAAGGCATAATTTGGTGAACAGAGCCAGGAAATGAATTTTAGCTCTTAAAAACATTTGCTTTCAGACCTTATAGTGGTATCTTTCCTTGTAAAATAGGGATGATCATTTCTGCCTTGGTCCTTGAAGCAATGTTGTGAGAATGGATGATCTATGAAGGGCTTTATATCCCTGTGGGAGAGGTGCTAGAGAAATATATAAGGCACTATTATAAGTGATGTCTTTGTTGTTACTACTCAAATCACCCACGGATTTCCCCAGAGACTGAGCCTGGCTGTCTAATAAAAGATAGTGAAATTGACCTGAGAGAAAATGAAATGACCATTTTACTTAGATGACCAGATTGGGTCTCCTGAGAAAAGGAATCTAGTTTATCTAGTGAAGGCGAAGTGCTGTCAAGGCCCTGAACTTGTCTGGTTTCCTGAGAGTGAAAAGATTAGGGCCTGGGATTACCACAATATTAATCAATACTGCGTTTCTGCCTTTTCTAATTGCCATAGACTGGGGATCAGTCCCTTGGTACTGCTAATGTAATGTAATGTAATTGATCTCAGGTAAGTAAGATGGAACCTCATGAAACAAATGTATCTCAATGACAATGAAGTCGCTGTGTATCAGCGGCCACTGGGAGGAGCCAGCAGGCCATTATCTCAGTCAAATTAGGTAATAGGCCAGCCTGCTTTGAAGTTCCATTAGGTGTGTATTGGTGGTGACTGGGAGGTCTTTAGCCTAGATTTTAGCATTACTGGGCATTTATTGGATATCACCAACATGACATATAATAATCGAAGTACAGAATTAGACACAGCACAAGTGTAGGTCCGAGGATGTCAAGTGCCAATGATACCTACCTGGAACAGAATTCTCAATGTCTAAGATACAGGCCATGGCTGATAACCACCACTCAGATTGGGTTTCAGAAAGTTCCTAAAATTATACTCAGTGGGTTTATTAGCAGCTGATACACTGAGGTATATGCATCTGCAGGGAAGAGTAGAGAACAAGGAAGGGAGAGCGCTTTGCAGCAACCTGGCACAGCCTTCCACTCCTTTGGTTGAGAGCCAGGAAAAGGGAAGGTCAGCAAGAACCCAAGTGTTCAGGAAGACGCAGTTTTCGGCAAGTTCTTGCTAGGTTAGCAAGTAACTGAATTTAGAACCATTTATACTTCTGGTGCACAAAAGTGGTGCATTTAGTGAGCATGACAACTAGAAGTTTGTTTCTTGTTACTCCAGTAGGCACTAAAGTCATTATTGTGCCGGGACTGGTTCTTGAGCCAACTGTGTAGATCTCTTCCCAACTGGTGTTCGGGTGACCTGTTGGTAGCTTGAAATCAACCGTGTGGGAGTATTTACACCACTGGAATTGGCAAGTGCTACAAATCAGCCCCTCTTCCCCTCCAGTTTGTTAACCATTTCTCTGAACACCACCAACTCCAACTCAGCATGGGGCTAGGTCTAACAATCATGGAACCCAACAGCCATGCCCTCTAAGTGATGAGAACAAAAGGAACTATCTCAACTTCTCTGAGCTACTATCATAAGAAGGGGAAGGGAGGTGTATCATGTGTCTTAGATGCCTGTTTATGAAGCAAAAATGGGTGAAGGCCAACTGGGGCCAAAAGTGACCAGGAGCCCCTTGACCTACTCATTCTCATTCTGCTAATAATCCCACTGACCAGGGGCCCCTTGACTTAATCATTCTTACTCTGCTCATAGGGAAAGCCAGAAAGATTGTAGTCCAACAGCAGATATGAATCATTCAGCCAGAACAGGATTCAACAAGTTAAGTAGCTAATCCCTTTCCCACACTCAACACTTGAAATTGGAACTCATTAAAATAAACACCCAACATTTTAAAAGTGGGGACATTTATTATGAATCACCTTGTTAGTCCAATGGGGAGATCCATGGAATGCTGCATAGTAGGGATTCATTCTTCGCAAGGAATAGGACGGAGTTCATTAGCAGAACATGGTGGGGCTTGTCGTCTCGTGGAGAGGATGTTTAGGAAGCTTATAAAAGCACACATCCTTGCCATGAAATGCTGATGACGGTCCTCATTTAGGTGATCCCAGACAAGGATATTTGCATTTTATTTGGTTTGACTGATTCCCATCCAACTGCTCTCAATTTCACAGCAAGTAAAGCGATCTAATTTCATCACCCACAGGCTGAAATACCTTTTCCCTCCTAAGCGCTCCCCAAGGGAAAAAGGCTGTGGGTCAGCTACACAGCAACCTATTATGTTGTGTTTTTTTTCCCGTTTTGACAATACAGAAAACACCAAACAAATATCTGAACATAATATTTGTTACTGGGTAGCATAGGGATTATATCAGACTTTAACCACCCCTATGACTAATAAATAGTCTTGTTTGTGAAAGACAAACAGACCAGAAAAACACACACCCAGCACAAACAAATGGTTAAGTCTTAAACCCTTAATTATGCTTCCTAGCAAAATGGTGACTAATGAAAGCCATATGTGCTAGAATCATGGCCGCCTCCTGGATTCCTGCAGACCCAGAGGGGAAGTCTCAGAACAGCCAAGCAGCAGCCAAACCTCTTTTGATTGCCAGTCTAATTCCCCATTTTATTCTCCAGGAAGTTTTTCCTTTATATCCAGAAAGACCTCACTGAGGAATGTCCATTCCATCTCCTAAGCACTTTGTTTCCAGAGCACTGTTCCTACCGGCGGATCACTCTGAACGAGTTGGTGAGGTGCTCTTACAATGGTGGTTGGAGTTTCTAAGTTCTTACTCAGATTGCCAAGTCATAGGAGGCAGAGTTATCTAAGGACTAAGCTGATTCCATTATGCAAAAAAAATTTCCTCCCCTAAAGGGAGGAAATGGGCACAAATACGAAGCTGTTACAAATAACATGGGGTGGGGGGTGCTTTACACAAAGTTTAGTGGGATGACATAATGACACAAAGGAAATGGGCTTTGCAATTATAGTTTTCTAAATGGTCTGAACTTGGTCTGACTGCTGACATCATCAGGAGTGTTTACAAGGTCTCAAAGGACTGCCCCTGATCCTCTACTCAAACTAGACACAGTCTTAGCTGGGAGGTGCTTTACGGATGCCACTGCTGAGGGCAGGAAGCTGAGAGCGTGAGCTTCATCCTCCAGGGCTCCTTTGGAACTAGTGGTGCTGCTCTGAGTTGTCTTGTGATTTGGCCTGGAGTGTCTAGGTACAAAACATAAGGATGTTAGCCCCTGGTCACAATTAGATGTGTAAGTTCTTCAGGAGTTACTTTGTTTTCTTAAATCAAAATGACAGACCACAAGGTCAAATCTGAGTTTGTAATTTATCTTGGTAATAAAAATAAAGACTTGCAAACCAGGCCTCGATGCAATTTGCCCCATCTACCTGTTGCCTGGTGCTCTGGTCCTCAGGAGCCAGGAGAGCTGCTCACTGCACAGTTCAACTCTCCCATGACCCCTATACTGTTTACTTGTATTATGCTTTTTTCTCTTGCCCCAAATGCCTTTATCCAAATGGAAAAATAGGTAAGTAATTTGTTATTTACAAGCATTTCTCCTAAGATTTAAATTGCTTTCCTGCTAGTATTTCCTGACATGAATCCTGTGTGAAATATACAACATATGGGAACTATTTCCATCTGGCACAAAGGAAAATAAGAATCTGCCTATATTGTAATTAGCTTCTAGACTTAACATGTTTAGGTCTGATCCACGGTTGCATTGGTTGATTTTTTTTTTTTTTCACTTTTGGATAATTGAGTTTAAAAAATGTAGTGGTTATAAGATGACTAAAATTCAGCCTACAGCTTCCTGTTTGAATGACAGGAAGAGCTGTGCAGTGTTTTACAATAGTTAAGATTCTAGATTTTCACTGCCCTTAAAAAGAACTAGAGGGAAAGGGGTTTTCTTTTTTTAGGTCATACTTACAGCTTCTTTAGCAGAAGTCACGGATCCTTTAGGTAATGAAATAGGTGTTGATGGTGTTATGGGTGATGATGTAATTGGTGGCAGTTTCATAAATTTTTCATCCTTAAACATCAGAATTGAGAGGTGGGTTACTAGTTTTAAAATAATGTGCATGAGATAGATAGTCCTACTGCCATGACTACCAGGAACCTACAACAACTACTTCAGATTCTGGCACAGGACTCAAGAGGCAAAGTCTGGAACCTAATTACATATAACCAAATGTTGAACTTTCTTAGAAACAGCAAATAATACAACAAATATTACTTATTAAAGAACACCATTGAAGTTCAGTTTCATTAAGGGGTTACAGATAGAGAAATGAACTTATTTTCATGTTTAACCTAATTAATCATATGAAAAGTAATGGTGTAACCTTAGTTCCCTTCAGTTGAGGTGCTAAGTCCACCAAGTTCTCTTTAGACTCAGGTGAAGTAGGTGATTCCACAGGACTATGTGTCTTCGGAGCCTAGGGAGAGAGATGTTATATAAGCATGAACTTTATGGTCTTCCTGAAACTCAGAAGCACTTCCACAGTAAGTAGTCAATGCTTTCTAGAACAATTCACTTTCCACTAAATCCCTAACTTGCTCCAACTATATACCCTTTATGAGTAACATATGAAATATGTCCCTGAAATAACAACTTAGTATTATTTATCTTGCAATTTTGAACACAAGTTGCACTCTAATTAGATTCCATTATTTAAAATCTTCAATCATTAACAAGCTACTGGTTTGCCAATTCTGGTGGTATTCTAGTCTCAAAAAAGGTGCCATTTCTCAATTACCATCTATTTCTAATGGCATGGATATAACTTGGTCAAGACTGACATTTATCATTGCTGGCTCCTAATGATAAAAGTTATTTAAATGGCTCCTATAAAACGAGGGAGAGGGTGGCATTTTAGAATAGATAGTTAACTTGTCTTTAAGAATTAATTAGATTTAAAAATATAGCACTGCTCTTTGGAAATAAGTAATTTCTTTGTGTACTTTGGAGGGAAAAGGGCTACGTATATCCAAAATTATAAAATATTCTATTTGATGTCTCTAAATTTTTTATAGAGCCTAGCATACTACTTGTTTTCATTTTGTACATATGGAGAATAGGAGTTTTAAAATTGGATATTTTTTTTAAAGCAAAGCAATAAAATGGCTAGGAGGTTGTCATTTTGTCCTTAATTCCTAGGTCTTTCTCAACCATTCCAGAAAACAACATCTGGATAAAGAGTTTCTGCCCATCTACAATAAGTCTGAGAACCCAAATTTAGCTCTGAGACATTGTGCTATTCCAAGATTTCCTTGCTCCTGACAGCAGTCAATGAATGACAGATAACTTTGATCTGACTTGAAGACCAAAGATAGAGTAAGAAGAAGAACCCAATAGCCTGCCTTTTTTGAACATGGTCTGTGCTCCAAAATTGCTCCTACCTAGTCTCCCTAGAATCCTTCCTGGACAAAGCCCAAATCCAGATTAGTCTCTGGAACTCTGCAAAAGGAAAGCAAGATGGGGTCTCCTGAAGTGTATTTTTCATGCTGAATTCATACCATTTTCCTTGGCTTGTCCAAGGAGTCAACAGCATAACTAAGATTTAAAATGGTTGGTCCTCACTCCAGAATATTTCATCTAATCTACTAAAACACATGTGCAGCATGCTCAATAGGTCTTTTCCTTGCTCACCCATGCAGGTTCTGATTAGACAAGAAGCCACAAAGTAGAACAGTGAGAGGCCCTTTCTGGTGGACCCAGAGCAAGATGCTAGTGATTGGGCCAGTCCTGGTTCTTCAGTAAAATACAAGAAGAAAAAAAGGCTACTGAGTTAAAGACAACAACAACAAACATTAAGACAATAAGTTGTAGAAAGACCAAAAGTTTAGATTCTAAATTGGCCATTCACTGCTTAAAAATTAATAGGAATCTGGACAAATGAAACAGATGTAATAGAACAAGAACCATTCAGTCTCAAAGGAGAAAGTAGTGAAAACAGTCTGAAGACTAGATTGTTAATAAGAAGGAATGATCGGGACACCTATTAGTGAAACCAAATCAAGCTGGGATCAAAGGCAGTAACATCCCTAGAGCTAGAGATAGTTTTCGTGATTTTAATATTTTTAGTAATTTAAAAAGGATTTTAAGGCCAGTTGGCCAAAATTCCAAAAGATATGCCAAAAGAAATGCCTACTCTGACTGCAGTAGGAAATAAGAGATTTTGGGGAGGGGGCCCCTGAGCCCAGCTACTCACCTCTCCACTTAGTGGGATCTCAATTGGCTTTGGCTTCACATCTATCAAATAGAAGGTTCGTGACAGGAGCAAAAGAGAAGGAGGGACGTTCTCCTTCAGGTGGAGGTCCTGCCACTGGGGAATAAAACATGACAGAGTCACAGAATGGGAGGCCTGGATGTGACCCAGGATCATCTACTGCTTTCCCCCTTAAGATGGGAAGATTATCCGGGAGGCCTCACCTAATCACATGAGATCTTTAAATCTGGGACTAGAGATCAAAACCAAAGGAACTCCGAGATTTAAAGCATGTGGAAGGTTGGCATAAGAGAAGTTCTTTGCAGATGGAGGCGACCTAGAGGTAAGGAATGCTGGTGGCCTCCGGGAGTGAGTAGCCCAGGGCTGACAGCCAGTGAGGAAACGAGCACCTCAGTCCCGCAGCTAAATTCAGAACTAAATTCAGCCAACAAGTGGAATGAGCTTGGAAGTGGGGTCTCCCCCACAGCCTCCAGAAAGGAATGCAGCCTGCACCTCTAACCTACAGGACAGGGAACAAATAAATGGGCGTTGTTTTAAGCCAGTAAATGTGGTCATTGGTTATGCAGCCATAGAAAACTAATACAGTACTTTGTCTCCGTCCAAAAAATCTAGCTGCTTTGGTATCCCACCGCTCAATTAAATAAAGCAAATTAGGTAAGATGGCTCACTTGCAAAATAGAAATCACAAAATAAGTCTGCAATGTGTAGGGAAGAGAGCCAGTGAAAAGGCCCTGGAAAGCTGCTACTTGCCTCTGTGAGCTGTTGTACCAGTTGCTCCTCAGTGAGACCCAGTGATCTCATCCCTCGGGCCCTACATGCAGACTGTAGTTCTGGCACACTCAAAGCACTCACCCCTTCTTCGGCAATTACCTGGAAGAAATGTAAGGAATGGTGTTGGATCTTTGGTTCCAATTTCACCTAACTCCACCGAGTCAGGGGAAACACAGGATCTGATGCTTCCAATACTTAGTGCCCATACTGACTGCTGCAAAGGTCAGCCACCTATAAAAACAAGGTGACTTAGGAAGGTGTGGCAGTTGAGATGAAGGGCATCCTGCCAAAAGGTATCTTATATAATAAAAGCCTAATATGCAAATTGTCCCCTCGACCAGGAGTTTGACCAGGGGGGCGTGGCTGGCCGGCCAACCTCCTGCAGCCCTTCCCCCCAGCCGGGCCCACCCCCCACCATGATCAGGGGCAGGGCTGGCCAGACCCCACCCATGCAGGAATTCATGCCTCTAGTTAATAACATCAGAGATATTTACATAACTTCTCCTCAACATTCTGTCACCAAAGTAATTATTTTCCCTCTTGATTTGCATTTACCTACTTGTGACGTCTCTACTCCTTCCTGTCATGGCAGCTTTCAGTTTCATTTAGAAAATATTTCACTTGAAAAGCTTTGTACCACCTGTTGTCTGTTCCGGTGGTATTCTTTCCCCCATTGTCCCGCACCAACACCCCAGGAATGGCCTTAACTCTCTGGTCCACAAAACTCCCTCAGTAAATAACACAGTTTCTGCTTGGTGTGACACAAAACCATGATACTCCTGGGACCAGTATTGTTTATTCCAAAGTTCTGAAAACAACAACTGAAATCTAAATGGGGCCGGTGGGATCGTGAGTCTCAGTTCTGAGAATCCTGCTTCCCGAAGGCAGAATGCCTTTTTTTTTTTAACATATTTTTTTTATTGATTTCAGAGAGGAAGGGACAGAGAGAGGGAGATAGAAACATCAATTATGAGAATCACTGATTGGCTGCCTCCTGCACGCTCCCTACTGGGCATCAAGCCCCTAACCCAGGCATGTGCTCTTGACCAGAACCCAAACCCGATGCTCTATCCACTGAGCCAAACCAGACAGAATGCTTTGAAGCAGCTGATACAGATTCAAGGAAGATTCTTTCCATTTTTTAAAGGAGTCTAATTAGTAGTTATAGTCCAAATTGTGCCTTTCTTTCACAGATGTCTAGGCACTGCTTTCCCTCCCTGTCTTGCCACCCCTTCTTACCAAGCCAGCTCACCCAGCAGAACATTTACTTTGGCACCAGCTCTGCGGGAAGGGAGCAGAGGTGTGGGGGTGGAGTCCTGTCCTTGGCGGAAGAGTCAGGAATCTACGGGGCTGCCGCTCCTTCCCAGTGGGTCCTAACTTCCTTCAGATTAGTCCCAGCTAAGACTTCCAAATTACTAATTGCTTATAATGGCCTTCTCAAGAAAATGGGTCAGCGTACAGTAACTCCTAAAAAGAGAAATCAAGGTTCAGGCTGTCATGGTAACAGTGGTTAAAACCACTCCTTTTCCTAGAACCAGTCCATGAGCAGACCTAACAGAAGATACTGCACTTTATCACAAGGCCATTCTAAGATATCTCCCGAAGCCTTGCGAATTCCCTGGAGACAGAGTTAAGCTCTTACTTCATCATCTGCTTTTATAGACTTCAGTTTCATCCGAAGCTGAAAGCGGAGCAAATTGTTGGTTCCAAAATACGGCAGTTCTAGCAGTTTGCAAAGGGCGACCAGCTGTGCGCGATCTAAGTGGTTAAGGGTGAGCTCATCTTCAAACAGTTTGGAAAAGCGAACTATCTCCTTTGTGCTGGGCTTGTGGCCTATTTGGACCTAGGCAGCAGGACAAACGGGCTCAATTAAACAATTAAAATGTGCTTCCTACTTAATAACATTCCCAATAGACTATTTGAAAGACAGATCAAAGCATTTATGGATTCTGTCTTAGGTCTAGAAGTGGGTACAAAGAGGAGTAAAGAAATCTGAAGTCGGCCTAAATCAACTGAAAAATCAGGAATAGTTCAAACATTTGCCTAATTCTGTTCTTTCCAAGAAGTTATCATTGTCTTCAGCACATTGGCTGCTTTAAGATAAACATTTCTGCAAAAAAAAACCCAAAAAACCCACAAAACTATAAACATTTGGAATATCATATCTATATAACTTAGATTTGCAAATTCAAAGATTGTAAACAATTTGGAAGATCCATGATAACATGCATATTTCATAAGAGTCCCAGCCCAGAAGCTGTTTGGTATTATATCAAAGACTGACACCTGTTCGACATAGGATGAGAACTGTGTAGAGGCCTCTCCCAGCCTGGTCCTCTTCCTCTTTGCCATTTCTGTCATTGTTTCTTGAAGAAATCTTGCTAGTTTCAACTTTGCAGCCATTTTCTTTTTCTGTTTTTCTTCCTTAATAATAGAAGAGGAAAAGTTCATCAGTCCTTCATGATTACAACTTGGTAGATAAGGATGCAAGAAAAAGAACTGTTACCTTGTTCTTGTTCATCCCTAGTTCATGTATCAATATTATTCTCAAACCTAAATGAATGGTTTCTGTGAGAACCAGAGCAAATAAAAAGTAGTCTCTGTTTGCAACTTATCTCCTTAATTTTTGTCACAAAGCCATCCTCTTTATTTATTGCTAATACAATGGTCATAAATATTTGATAGATCCAAAATATCCCCTCAATGATAGGCTTTGTCATTATTTAGAATGAGATACTATTTCCTTTTTTACATTTTATTTTTCAACTACAGTTTATAGTCAACACTATTTTGTATTCATTTCAGGTGTACAGTATAGTGGTTAGACAATCATATACTTTACACCAGCGGTTCTCAACCTGTGGGTCGCGACCCTTTCACAGGGGTCGCCTAAGACCATCGGAAAACACATATGTAATTACATATTGTTTTTGTGATTAATCACTATCCTTTAATTATGTTCAATTTGTAACAATGAAATTGGGGGTCACCACAACATGAGGAACTGTATTAAAGGGTCACGGCATTAGGAAGGTTGAGAACCACTGCTTTACACAATCTTCCCGATATTTCAAACACCCACCTGGCACCAAAATAGTTATTACAATATTATTGATTATATTTCCTATGCTATACTTTACATCCCATGATTATTTTGTAACCACCAATTAGTAATACTTACTCCTTTCACCTTTTTCACCCAACCCCCAACCCCTCTCCCCTCTGGCAACCAGCAATCTGTTCTCCACATCTATGGGTCTGTTTCTGTTTTGTTTAATCATTTATTTTGCTCTTTAGATTTTACATGTAAGTGAAATCATATGGTATTTGTCATTCTCTGTCTGACTTATTTCACTTAGCTTAATACCCTCAAGGTCCACCCATGCTGTCACAAATAGTAACGTTGCATTCTTTTTTATGGCCGAGTAATATTCCATTGTATATATGTACCAGTACTACAGGTTTTTAACCCATTTGTCTACTGATAGACACTTGCATTGTCTGAGTTATTTATAAATGAGATACTATTTCTTGCCCTAGCTGGTTTGGCTCAGTAGATAGAGCCTTGGCCTGAAGAGTCCCGGGTTCAATTCCGGTCAAGGACACTTGCCGGGGTTGTGGGCTCAAACCCCAGGAGGGGCATTCAGGAGGCATCCAACCAATATTTCTCTCTCATCATTGATGTTTATATCTCTCTCTCCCTTCATCTCTGAAATTAATAAAAATATATTTTAAAATAATAATAAAACACATACATAAATAAATGAGATACTATTTCTAAATCTGGTATAAACAATCTAGACTTCTAGTTGAACAAACCCCTAGTCTGAGTGGCCCTGGATTTTTCTTGAGCCATAAACAAAGAAAACTAGGTAATTAACTCTACCCTAAAGTAGCTTATAGTTTATGTAAAACAAACACAATTTATTACAATATAATGAGTTAAGTGCTATAACAGATATGAACAAAGCACTACACAGAAGAGAATTGAGTGTACACTCTTAAGACACTATGTTGATCATTATTTCTAAATCCTTGTTCATCATCAGAAATGCTGTGTGGCCCAGCCAGCATGACTCAGTGATTGGGCATTGACCTATGAACCAGGAGGCTACGATTTGTTCCCAGTAAGGGCACTTGCCTGGGTTGCAGGCTTGGTCCCCAGGGTGGAACATGCAGAAGGCAGCCAATTAATGATTCTCTCTCACCACTGATGTTTCTATTTCTCTCTCCCTCTACCTTCCTCTCTGAAATCAATAAAAATATATTTTAAAAGAAATGCAATGCAGTGGCATTTTCAAAATAACCACGGTCAGGATTCAGGACAATACCGAGAAGCAGAAATATATATCTTTTTTTTTTAAATATATTTTATTGATTTTTTTACAGAGAGGAAGGGAGAGAGATAGAGAGTTAGAAACATCGATGAGAGAGAAACATCGATCAGCTGCCTGCAACCAACGTACATGCCCCTGACCGGAATCGAACCTGGGACCTTTCAGTCCGCAGGCCGACGCTCTATCCACTGAGCCAAACCGGCTTTGGCATATATATCTTATATATACATATTTTTAAGTTGCCCAAGAGATTCTAATGATCACCCAATTATGGCAATCTTTGGTTTTTAGAAAGATCTTAAAGGACTCAGCCATAAACTCACACAACGGCAATACCATGATTAGTCATTACCATTAGTCAATACCATTTTTAGTCATCCATTGCACTCAACTACATCCACATCCATATACACATCCACATAGAGTGTCAATCTACGAACCAGGAGGTCAGGGTTCAATTCCTGGTCAGGGCACATGCCCGGGTTGTGAGCTCGTTCCCCAGTGTGGGGTGTGCAGGAGGTAGCCAATCAATGATTCTCTCTCATCATTGATGTTTCTATCTTTCTCTCTCTCTTCCTTACTCTCTGAAATCAATAAAAATGTGTTTTAAATACATATCCATATCCATCCATCTGTCCACTTATTGAGCATCTACCATGCGCTAGAGAAAAAATGAGCAAAAACAGTTATGGAACTTCTAGTCTAATGGGAGAGACAAACATTAGTGCCTAAAGATAAACTAGTAACTCCAAAAATGGATGTGAAAGTGTAACTGAGAAGTACTATGAAAGAGAAATGCATGGTACTGTGCTCCGATGTAAACAGAAAGCTAGCACTCTTGTTTGCTTGCTGTCTCTCTTTTCATGCAACAAAGAAAACAAGAAAGTATTTTCTAGGACTGTGTCCATGATGTATATACACTGAGTGGCCAGATTATTATGACCACCTGACGTTTGTAGGCAAATTAGCTATAATTTTGAGCTGAAGTTGCTAGAGGGCCAGACCATTATAAATAGGGAAACAGGTTGTTTACCATGACAGTAGAAGTGATTTTTTTTCTGAAGATACAGGTAAACAACGCGATTTAACAGCCTTTGAACGTAGGATATATTTGAACATGAGTGGCCAGATTATTATAACCACCCCATCAGTACTTCGTTGGGCCACCTTTTGCCTTCAATACTGCGGCGATTCTTCTTGGCATTGACTCCACTAGATGTTGAAAGGTGATGCGAGGAATCTGACACCATGCCTGATGAATAGCACTGTCTAGTTCTGTGAGATTTGATGGTTGTGGAACCAGCTGCCTGATGGCTCTTTTAACTTCGTTCCACAAATGCTCAATTGGATTGAGACCTGGTGATTGTGGGGGCCACCTAAGCAAGGTAAAGTCTCCCTCATGTTCTTGAAACCATTCCTGCACAATACGAGCACCGTGGCATGGCGCATTGTCTTGTTGGAAGAAGCCATCTCCATTGGGATACGCCAGCAACATGATAGGATGAACTTGATCAGCAATGATACTTAGGTATGTTGTGCTATTCAGACGTTGTTCCACACGAATTAAAGGGCCCAAACATGCCAGGAAAACATGCCCCAAACCATAACACTGCCCCCACCAGCTTGAAGGGTTGTACTCATGCATGTGGGGTACATGCTTTCATGCTGTTTCCACCAAATTCTCACTCTGCCATCTGGATGATGTAACTGGAAACGTGATTCATCGGACCACATGACTTTTTTCCAATGCTCGACTGTCCAATCCTTGTGTTCCTGTGAGAATTGGAGACGTTTTATCTTGGTAACTGCAGACAGCAAAGGTGTTTGAACAGGCCTTCGGCTTCCATATCCCATACGATGCAGTGTACGGCTAATTTGCCTACAAACATCAGGTGGTACATGATGCAAAAACATGTACTGCCCAGATCTGCGGATCTGGCAAGATGGCCACCCGCCGGGCAGCACCATCCTGCACAGCCAGAAACCTGTGATGGTGAAGGGGAAGCGGCTGCTCCACCCCAAAGCAGTAAAGGTGTTATACAACTTTCCTTATTGTTATACAATTTTTTTCAGGGGAAAAAAATTAAGTAAATTAACTCAACATGGATCATAGACTCAAAACTATAAAACACCTAGGAGAAAATCTTAGATGATCTTGGATATGGCAAGAGTTTTTAGATACAACACAAAAAGCACGATCCAAGAAAAAAAACATCAAGTTGTGTGTTATTAAAATTTAAAACATTTGTTCTGCAAAAGACACAGTTAAGGGAATGAAAAGATAAGCCACAGTCTGAAAGAAAATATTTGCAAAACAGATATCTGATAAAGAACCTGAATACAAAAATATACAAAGAACTCTTAAATCCCAACAATAAGAAAATGAACAACCCCATTAATAAGTGGGAAAAAGATTTGAATAGACACCTTTCCAAAGAAGATATATAGGCCTGGCCCGCACGGCTCAGTGGTTGAGTGTCAACCTAAAAACCAGGAGGTCACAGTTCGATTCCCAGTTAGGGTACATGCCAGGATTGCAGGCTCGATCCCCGTGCGGAGCCTGTAGGAGGCGGCCAACCAATGATTCTCTCTCATCATTGATGTTTCTATCTCTCTCTCCCTTTCCCTTCCTCTCTGAAATCAAAAGAAATATAGAGATGGCAAAGAAGCATATGAAAAGATGCTCCATATCAGATATCATTAAACAATTATAAATTAAAATAACAATGAGATTCCACTGCACACCTATTAGAATGGCTAATACTCAAAGCACTACAACACAAATGCCGATAAAGATATAGAGCAAAAGAAGCTCTCATTCATTGCTAGTGGGAATACAAAATGATGCAGCTATTTTGGAAGATAGTTTATTGATTTTTTTCAAAACTAAACAGTTTTACTATACAATCCAGCAACTGTTCTCTTAGGTATTTACCCAAATGGGTTGAAAGCATATGTCCACACAAAAACCTACACATGGCATTTTTAGCAGTTTTATTCATAATCGCCAAAAATTGGAAGCTACCAAGATGTCCTTCAATAGGTAAGTGAATAAACTGTGGCATATCCATACCGTGAAATAGTATGCAGTGACAGAAAGAAATGAGGCATGAAAAGACATGGAGGAAACATATTGCTAAGGCAAAGGAGCCAGTCTGAAAAAAACTACACACTATATGATTCCAACTATATGACATTCTAGAAAAGGCAAAACTACAGAGACAGTAAAAAGATCAGTGGTTGCCACAGGTTGAAGGATAGAGGGAAGAGGGACAAACATGTGAGCCACAGGGGATTTTTAGGGCAGTAGGAGGGTGGATACATGACATTATGCATTTGTCAAAACCAATAAAACTATACAACATAAAGAGTGAACCCTGATGTAGAGTATAAGCTTTAATTAATCATAATGTATAGATATTGGTTCTTCCAGTTGGAACAAATGTACCACATTAATGCAAGATGTTAATAATAGTGGAAATGGAGGAAGAGGTGCCTGGGGATTCTCTGTACTTTCTGTTCAATTTTTCTGTAAACCTAAAAACTTCTCTAAACACTGAAGCAAGCCTACTGATTTTTTTAAAAGTTAAAAATTCCTACGTACCTTTTTAGATTTACTTTCAAAAGTTGATGGCAACATCTCTGGGAAGAACTTCAGAAACACTGGTAATAAGAATTCCATGAAGGGTACAATTATGAACACCATAAATGGAACCAAGCGGAAGAAATCAACACAAGTCCTCAATAGCTAAAGAATTAAATGCATATGCAATATTCATTATTTTAGAATGTGCCAAAAACAAAACAAAACAGAAACCCCTAAAACTAAAAAGGCTGCTTTGGCTCTGACAGTCTGCAGCTGTTTAGGAAATGGAAAGGTGGGATTTTCCTCTTTATCATAGCTCTGAAGTAACATTTATGGGATATCCTCAAGGAAATCTGTAACAATCAAAATATATTATTGGTATCTTGTAGCTTTCATCTATCTTAGGGGTCTGGACTTGAATAGCACAGTATCTGTTAAAATTGTTTTTTAATGCATATTCTTAATATATTAACAACAGTTTGTATTTCAGATGCACAGATCAAACCTGCAGCCTCTCAACTCCTTGAAGAGATTAGAAACATAATTATAACCATTCTATATAGGCAAATATATACAAATTTTAAAATTTTGCCTAAAGTTGTACAATAAGTCAGTAGCAGACAAGAAACTCAGAAATTCCCAATCTTACCATGTTACTATTCCTACTTTGGGATTTTTTAAATGAATTCTAAGTTGAGTTTAAAACTTGGTTCCTAAATAGTTCATTTTAACTTTACACTTTCTTTTTTTAAAATACGATTCTTGCCTACCCTTCGTCTATCTCGTCTGGTCAGCATCTGTCCATGCAACAGCCTCCAAATCATTTTGACAGCAACTTTGGTGTCAATCCAAAGAAAATAGAATCCATTGTAATAATATTTAAGTTCATCCATAATTCTTTGTCTATAAGATCGCTTTTCTTCCTTAGTCTCCATACCAGTTTCTTCTGTGGGCTGAGAGCTTGTCACCTGGGGTTCTGGGGTGGGTTGCTCCAGCTGAGGTTCACCAGGGACCTTTTGTAGCCAGCAAGTTGATGTGTGTAGCTTTTGTATTATCCTAGTTCGTAAGTGATGTCCTTTATTGCCTGACTGACTAGGATAGGAGTACTTCCTGCTTCCATAGTTCTTCGTATATGTTTTATTTAAATGGGAATCTGGCAAGTGAAGAAATGCAAGTGATGGGAAACAAGAAGAGCAGGTAGGATGTACAAAATGGCTAGGGAATCTGGAATAAAGAGCAACATCCTCTGAGTTGAGCACAAACTATTACAAACTTAAAAGTTAAAGAAATAGATACTGTATCAGGTTAAAATAAGTAGTTTTAAAGCCTGTATTTTAAAGTAGATGATGTTCGGTAGTGAATGAAATATAACTTTTTATCCCAGTTGAAGAACAGTAACCTTTATGGTCGAATAATATACTCTATGAGAAATATTAGTAAGTTCATTCCAAGAATAATTGCTATAGTAGAAGTAGAAACTCTGCAACTATTCATTTAAAAATCTAATAGCAAATATTTTCCCACTAGGGGTTATGTTTGAAAGTTCTTTATCTACTACCAGAAAGCAGGTGGAAGACTTGTGCCGTCACCTACTCTACTGACAATAGGAATGTTATTTGAACAAAGCAGTTCAAGGTCCTTTTGGGGGTTAACCAACCACATAAAATTGCCTTGTTTACGTGCTGCCTTCCCATAGATTCCCTCAAGTGAGAGGCACTGACAACCAAAACGGCCTTCACCTAAGATTCCTGAAGAACCTTAGGAATAAGAATTTGAATTGGGCACCCCAGCCAGGGATCTCTACAGTCTACTTTGGCAATAGCTCACAGTCTTCAGTTAGACTAGCACATCAGGTTGTTTGAAAATTAAAATAAGATTATCTAGGCAAAGAAAGTTCCTGGCAAAGAGACTTCTTTTGGCAAAGAGATGGCTTTTTCCATTCTTTGTTTTTGAAGCATGCCAAGATTTAACACTTTTTGAATAGCTAAAAGGGAATATGTCCAATGTATCCAGCACATAGTACGTTCTTGGTGAATATTCTTTGTAATAAATAAGTGATAACAGATCTTGCTGGGGCAGGTATAGGCCCTAGGACTGGCTTGTTTGCCAGCCACTTGACTCCTTTTTATATGTAAGGGCCTCATGTAATATTCATCCATGACATTCTAAAACCATTACATCTTCTATCCTACCTGTACTACACATCCACAAAATGACTCAGCTGAGTTCTAAAGCATATTGAAAATTTGGGATAAGTTTAAATACATTAAAATGTCAGCTTCCTAAACACCGACACAGTTAAAAACAACAAAGCTTTATCTGTGTACTAAGCCTATCTTTTTACATATACTTTTCCATCTAGAAGAATAAAGTTCACATTAATATTGGGGGCAGGAGGGAAATTCCAAGGCTTACCTTGTTCGGGCAATAACTAAGACTGTATTATAACAGTAGACAGCCATATTTATATTTGTCTCAACTAGTCAACATTGGGACCTAGGCAGAAGGAGTAAGTAAACAATTCAGTATTTGAAAAAACACATCAATTATAAAGGTATCAGGATTTAAGTGTTTTTAACTACTGCCAGGGTAAAATATTTGCATATTCTATTCAAGGTGTAACATTTCTTTCAAGTTCCCTTCCAACAATCATGAATGTTTTCTTAGTCCTGGATTTGAGAATGGTACCTTGAGACCCCAACAAAGAGAAATGACTTTTAATACGATGATGGACACGACAGTGAAAGTTTTCAAAGACATTTTGATTTCTGGTCAATAGTACCCAGTAATCTACTTATATGGTTGCCAAGTATTTAAGCTGAGGAAGGTACACTTATTTGTACCTAAAAATACAGGTAGAAAATAAATATCCTGGATTTGTTTTCAATTAGCTTTTTTTTTCCATACTTGGCCAAGCTGCCCCAAACTTTAAAAGATGGAAAGTATTGCCCTGGCCAGTGTGGGTCAGCTGGTTGAGCCATCCTCCCATGCACGGAAAGGTCACCGGTGGATTCCCGGTCAGGGGCCTGGTCCCGGTTGGCATGGGGGAGGCAACTTCATATCAATCTCTCTCTCTCTCTCTCTCTCACACACACACACAGTAAAAACATATTTTTAAATATAAAACGAGCCAAAACCGGTTTGGCTCAGTGGATAGAGCGTCGGCCTGTGGACTGAAAGGTCCCAGGTTTGATTCTGGTCAAGGGCATGTACCTGGGTTGCGGGCATATCCCCAGTAGGAGATGTGCAGGAGGCAGCTGATCGATGTTTCTCTCTCATCGATGTTTCTAACTCTCTATCTCTCTCCCTTCCTCTCTGTAAAAAATCAATAAAATATATTAAAATATATATATATAAAACGAATTATTGCCCGGAGGGCATGGCTCAGTGGTTGAGCAGATCTATGAACCAGGAGATTCCCGGTCAGAGCATATGCCCGGGTGCAGGCTCAGTCCCCAGTGGGGGGCGTGCAGGAGGCAGCCAATCAATGATGCTCTCTCATCATTGATGTTTCTCTCCCTCTCCCTTCCTTTCTGAAATCAATAAAAATATATATTAAAATAAATAAAACGAATTCTTTTTTTTTTTTAAGAGTGAAAGTATTCATTTAAGTAGCAGGGCAGATGTACATGGTACCCGCTAACAGTTCAAGTGGAGGGAAACCGGTTTCCTGAGCTAGTGATTCTCCGCAGAGCTTTCCGCCTTGACATGCGCTTTACAGAAACCTTCCTCCTTCCTGCGGCGCTTCTCAGCCCAGGGCAGCAGGAGCCTCGGTACCTCTCTCAGCATCACCTCCGCTTCCCTGCAGCTGGGGGGAAAGTACTAGGGTCTTTCGCGGACGGAAACCTCAACCACAGAACAGACATTTTGATCAAGGGCTCAAATAATACTTGGGAACATCCGAACCCAGACTAAGGACGGGCGTCCTCCTGCTGGAGGGAGACCAGACCCCATCCGGCGGCCAACCCGCTCTCCGGCCCCGGGCGCTCGGGCTCCGGGCTGCGGGCTACCACTTCCCCGGCGGGCGGCGAGCCCCGCCCGCGCCCACGCCCCGCCCACGCCCGCACGCCGAGCCGCGGCCGCCGGATACGTGGGCTTCCGGCGCTGCAGGACCGGGGGCCCCGGCGCCCTCGCTTCCCTTGGCCGGCGGCTTTCGCGCGCGTGGCGTGGACGGCTGCGTGTACTGCGGCGGCGTCTGGATGCAGTGTTTCTCTGTATTTTGGTGCGGGAGTGGTGCAGGCACCAACCTTGCGGGCGATCCGGGTTTATGGGAGGCAGACGAGAAAGCAGGACGCGGGGTACAGAAGAGAAAGGAGGAAGCGAAGCACGAAAGAGGGGGGACGGAGGCTGAGCTCCAAGGCTGTTGGGCGGGCAGGGGGACGAGGTCTAGTGCCGAGGAGAGCGCGCCGGGCCACTGGCAGCGGTCGGGGGAACTGGGCGCCGAGGGCGGAAACCAGATGCCAAGGGAGCGGACTCTGCCGGACACAGGCGGGCGCGGTCCCCCGAGTCACTGCCCGAGGACTAGGCCGGCCCAGCCCTACCTCCTCGGCCGGCTCCCGCGAACGGCCGCCTCAGTCCTCCAGTGCCTTCCCGAGGCCCCCCTCCCCCGCTCCCCACGCTAGAAGGGCCCGCGGCCGTCTCTATGGCTCCTCCTCGTTCCTCGCGGTGACGTCACTCTGAGTGACGACATCGCTCACCAATGGGCTCTCGGAGTCCGCGGAGCGAGGGTGTCCTTCGCCGCGGCATCCCTGGAGGCTGCGAAGCCTAGTTCCCACCGGCAACCTGACTTACGTCCCTGCTGGGTTTAGTTGAAGGAGACTCCGTGTCCAGGGGTGGGAGGAAGGCAAGACCGACGTTTTCCTACCTGTCCACAGTCTCTAGGCCGTGGACCAGCTCTCCCCGAAACCCTTTGCTGAAAGCTGGGTGAAAGGAGCGTTTGCCCTCCGGAGAGCGCAATATGCCTGATAGTCGCCATGGTAACCATCTTGGAATCATGAATTACATCACTTTCATGTTTTTCCTTCCTTTCCCCCACCCCCTCCAACTGCGCAATTGCGGGGGAGGAAGCAGTGGAAGGAGGGAGTGGCAGAAAGGGCGGGAATGGTAAAGAAAACATCCCTCTGGACCAAGACTGGAATGCTGTGTACTCTCAATATGCATTATAAATGTTCTCTTAGCCGGCATTGCTTCTGATCAGTATTTTCTGTAAAAATTCTCATATTTAAAATATATATTATAGTAGCTGTGAAGGTTTGGAGGGGGGAGGACTTCAGTTTCTAAGATGAGCAACTGAGCCATCTTGGGAAAGTGAAAGATCTAGAAGTGTCCTCGCTCCCTGGTTCTCTCTACCCACCCATTTTATCTGGCTCTAGGAAGAAAAAAATTTTAGTGGCTCTCCTTTGACTAACACCAGACAGCAAGGAATACCTTTCTCACGGAGAACACTTCTCTTAACATGTTGGCGGACATGTGCCATCTGGGCTGCACATTTGAAAGAATGAAAGATGACGGATATTACACTTCAGGGTTTTCTTGGCCTGTTTGTTTTGTTTTTAAATGCCGACTGCTTTTAATTCACAAAGCATTTTTCAGCTAGTAACTAAATGAATTAACTGTTAACGAGGCAAAACTTTTCCGTTTGGCCACGAGAGGGCACTTAGTGCATGTCTGATGCCCAACTGTCCACAGAATGGTTTCACTTCATGTTCTATGTTTACTAGACTTAACAGATTCTACAAAGCTTTGGTCTTTTTTACCTTTGCTTTCTTTGCCTGAAAATTTCCGATAGTAAATTATGAGCTCTAAAAGGCTAGGGTGCAATTGTCACATTAATTTTATAAATTAATCACTGCACAACCATGTACCCATACTTTTCTGGAAAAGATCATAAAGGATACAAAAATATTCCTCTTAGTAGTTCCCGGGCGACATTTTATATCGGGAAATATTCTTATTCATGCATTGTGTTCACTTACAACCAGGCACAGTGAAAATCATTAAGTATTCATAAACCAGATGCACGAATCACTATTTGAAAGATGAGCTAGATTTTCTCCCATGGCCATATGTTGGCAATCCTATTCTGCAAAGGGAAGGGGTAAGAATCTTTCTTATTGAAATTCGTTTGTTCAAAGCAATGTCTGCCTTATCCTGTTATTAGGACTGGTGACTTTTTTACTTTCAGGGTAAGTGATTTATAACATAAGGAGTTTTTAGTTATAATCTTCAAACAGGAAACAAAATGTTTTTCTCCCTAACTCTGGCCCTGATTGTTAGACTGCTGTCTTCATGACCTGTTTGCTCATTTTCTTTGGAGAAGAGAAAGCATGTTCTGGCCTTCAGATGTTAGATGTTAAAAATGTAATTTTTAGTGGGCATGTCCCTAAATGTGGCTTCAGATAAAATATTATTAGAAATATAATGTATTTTCTAGTGTTTTGCAGAAACAGACTATGCATCTACCTCACATAACTTTAATTTTAAACTTTTGTCAGCAAAGTTTTAGAAGAAAATAAAAATAAAATCCCTAGGGACAACCAAATTCTTCTCAAGGGGAAAATCCAGGTGTCTGGTCAAGGCAACAGTTTATCAACAAAACAGGTTAAATATGGGAAGGTGGAAAAGAAGGGTGGAGGTGGAAAGGCTCATAGGAATAAAAAACCCATTTAACCTTTCTTCGCAGGAGATAGAATCAAACTAAAATAAGCTCAGGTGGCCCCCTTCGGAGGTCTGAGCTCCAAAAAGACATCTAGGCATTTAAAACCAACAAAAATGTGATTTTATTGATTCCTTTAGTGTTTGTTGCTACACTAAGCATACATACTACACAAGCATAGTTTTAGAAATAGTGATTAATAGCAATGGGAATGCTTAATTTGAATATCACCCTTAGTATTATTAACAGGGTTATGTTTTTAAAAACTAATACATAATTAGTAGTCATTAAAATAGTTGATCTGTGGGAATGTCTTAATTCCTTATGTAAGTGGTAAAGATATCAGGAACTTCTTGTAAGTGTATCCAATAGATCCACCACTGTAACGGCTATAGAGAGGATAGCATCTGGCAGCGATACGGCTTTATTAATCTCGGAACAGAGTTTTGGTTTCCTCATCTGATTGCTGCCTGTGGTTCCTTTATTCTCCGAGCTGCAATGTTCTAGTCATTATCAAACAGCCTCCGGAAATATCACCAACTCTGCACACTCCGGCAAGAACAGTTCACTGCGGCACACCTCCCAGACCTTCCATTGTTCAGTAGACATTTCCTAGGATGGGGGGCGGTGGTGTTAGGGTTACAGAGGGTTTTGACTCTCTTCTTCCTCTCCCTCTTGCGTGCACTCTGTCTAGTGCACAGGCCCTCCCATCCCTGAAAAGAAAGACCTGGCAGCAAGCAGAAGGCCCGGGCACGCGACGGGCACAGAGCCCCCCGAGGTCTGGGGTCCCCCTCGTTACCCACAAGCCTCCGGGCCCGCCGTGCCAGCAGGAAGCAGGCGCGCGGAGCCCGGCGCCCGCGAGGGAGGTGGGCGCCCCCGCACAGAGGCCGAGGGGCCGCCGGGGCCTCCCGACGCTCGCCGTGGGGCAACCTCCGGCTGAAACGCGCGCGGCTGACGGAAAGGCTTGCCGCCCCCCCCCCCCCCCCCCCGAGGACCCAGGAGGAAGTCGCTGCCATGGTGCCCACACGCAGCCCCAGGTGGCCCGGGCAGCTCCTCTCTGACAGCTGTCGGACCGCAGGCGGCCGAGGAGCCACACACGTTGCTGTCCCCTTCCCGGCCGTCGGGACGGGGCACCCGCCAGTAGGTTCCTCGAAGGTCTGGGGGTGGCGCGGCAGAGCCCCGCCGCGGGGTCCCCCCCGCCCCCCCGGTGTCTCCTGTGCGCCCCGCGACTCAGTATGTGACGCGCACGAGCACGGCTCCCCTCCCTCCCGGCCGCCCCCACCTCCGGTTCTGTTTTGGTTTTGCTCTCGGCCGCGTCTCTCTTTCCTTCCTGTCCCTCCGCCTTCCCCGCCCGCGGCCTCGCTGCCGGCCGGGCCTCCCTCGGGCGGCTTCCAGTTCTGCTTCGCGCTCTGGCCCCTCCTCCCCGCCCCGCACCAGCCGCTTCCTCCTCGCGCGCCCCGCGCCCCGAACCCGGGACTGCATTTCCCGGTAGGCGCCGGGGCAGCCAATAAGCGGCTCAAGATTTGGCGGCGGCGGCGGCGCCCCGAGAGTCCGGGTGGGGGGGCTTTGTGCGCGGCGTCGGTGGCGGCGGCGGGAGCGGGCGGCGGCGGCGGCCAGATCCGAGGCGGAGGCCGCGGAGACCTGCCCACTGGTGGTCGCGGACAGACGTGCGGAGGCCGGCAGGAGCCCGGCGGACCCAGCTGCCCCCGCCGGCCGCCGGCCCCCCGGCTCCTCTCTGGTAGCGGCGGCTCCGCGGCGACCCCCTCCCTCGCCGCCCCTGCCCACCCCGCCCCCGGCCGCCTTCCTCCTCCCCGCTGCCGGCCTGGCCTGGCCGGCCCGGTGGCCTCCTTCCGTGCCCGCCGCCATGGCAGAGGCATCCGGCGCGAGAGAAATCTAGCCCGGGGATTTCATGCGGCCTAGCTCGGCTCCGTCTCCTCCCCCCGCAGCCCGGGCGGCTGCCCGCACCCCAGTTCCGCTCCGGGCCTCCGTGTCTCTCCTGTGATCCTACGGACACGGCTGGGGGTTAGAATGGAACAAACTGAAGGTAAAGTGGATGCGCGCGTGTTCGTGGGTCCGTGTATCGGAGGGGCCGAGCCGGGGACGGGACCGGGGTGGGGAGAGGGACTCGAGCCCGAGTGGGAGGACACGCGAGCGGCCCGCCGGGGCTCGAGGGGAGCCTGGGAGGAGAAGCGGATGGCCGGGTGCGGGGTGTGCAGGGTGTCGGGAGGTGGGGCAGGGGCGGTGGGGTGCGGGTAAGAGCCGGAGTGGCGCGGGGCTGGGAATTGGGAGTAGAGGTGGGATGGGGGCGGGGATAGCGATGGGGCCGGGGGAGGGGCAGGCCCCGCGGAGCCGAGTTAGGTTTCGAGACCTGGGCGGACTGGGAAATGGGTTTGGGGGTGTCGGGTGGGGACCGGGACCCCGGGGGAGAGGGGAGAGAATTGGATGGAGAAATGGGCGTCCAGGGAGAAACGAGGGAGTGGAGGCAAAGGTGGGCTAGGAGGAGAGAGGCGCAGTGACGGAGACAGGATGCCAGGGGAAGGTAGGAAAACAGACGCAGGAAACTGGAGGACCTAGTTTTGGGGACAGGGAGGGGAAAGCACTGAGCGTGGACACGGGTGGGAACCAGCCGACCCAACCTCACGGAGTGGGAGGGGAAGACGGGGACGGGGGTTGTTCAAGTGTTAGGAAGGGAAAGCCTTTTGTTCCTATATGTGTGTGTATTCTGTGCCTCTTCTTTCAAGGCTGGAGAATGGAGAAGCAAGTGGTTATGCTGTTACGGTGGTTGTGAAATGGGGAGGCGTGGGCTTTGCCATTTTGAGGGAGAAGTGTTAGTGTTATGGTAGCAAGACGGGGAGAGACATGGCCACAATTTGATGGTCTTGGTGAGGGAGTGGAGACTCTTCAGATTTAAAGGGGGCAGGGGCAGCCATGTTTGCTGCCAGGCACTGCAGTGTAAATAAATTCCTTCTCCGACAGCAGTATGAGTCTGGAAGGGGCCATTTCAGATGGTTAACCCCCTTTCTTTCTATTCATGAACTCTTCGCTTCCATCTTGAGGTCATTTAAAATTATTCTTAACCACCAAAAGGAGGTAGTGATGTTTTCCATCTTGTGTGTTTTGCTGCCCCCCCCCCTTCCCTCTTTCCTCTTCCTTCTGGTTGCAAACTAGGCATACTAATGAACCGCAGTGTAAAATTTAACCCTTTTTATAAAGTTAGGACTGTATATTTTCTAGCTTGAAGGAATCATTACTACTCTCTTATTTCAAACATGACCGTGAAAGATCTTTTAAATATTCATTGGTTTCAGAGGCCTCGGAAGCAGTCAACATGTTTTCTGCAATTCTTTAAGTAAACAAGGAAATTGCATCGGTTATTTTACTTGGACTTGGGCTCTTGGCAAAGCATTGTGTGGGGGTGAGAAGGGATAGGAAGATCTGCTTGTCATAGATTATCTGCTTGCTGTATTTTGAATATTAGAAAATGTGTGTAGAATTTTAAAATGTGTGTTTCTGATAGCTCTTACTTATAGGTTAAGAAGCATTTTCTTTTTTTATAAACGCTGTAACAACTGAAAGCTTCACTTTCGTGTAGCTAGCTTGATACAAGCTTCAACACCAGTTCAGCATACTGCAATAATCAATGAAGCAGGCATGCAGTTCTCAGAGCCTCATTGAAGTGTCAATATTTTTGGTGGGAACTTTAGGTTACTCTCAGGAAAGCTACAGTAATCCCTCAGTATATTCAATTGTAATTATGTGTGTGGTATGAAATTCAGTTTAAATCCTGACAAATTTACAGTAGATAAATTAGGTGGAGACTCTTATTTTCATATTGAAAAGGATTAAATGTGTGTGACCTCTTGTTTTGTTTTATAATTATAATTGGAGTACTCTAAACTTTAATTATGTCGATATTGAAACTGTTCTTTAATACCAGGAAGGCTTGTTAAAATTGTAATATAATGGACCCAAACCAGTTGCACTACATATTGACTTAATCTACCTAATGCAACTTTTTTTCAGTTGTTATATAGAAGTTAGGATGTGTTCTTGATCTTTTGAAAAAAAATGAAATTGAATATTGTTAGAGTGGTACTTTGTGAGAGTGCTTTCAGTATAAAGGCCACGTTTACAACTTGGGAGTATTTTGATTTGATAAAATTAAGCCCAAATTTTTGAAAACTTTGTGAGAAAAAGTTCCACTCAAAAAGCTATTGAGAAGTTTTTTGGAATTTATTTTTATGCAGATTGCATTTTTATATCTCCACTTATTTGACATGTTATTTGTAATTAAATTGCAAATTATGTGCGTGAACTATTAGTGCCATACATTTTTAGGAAACTGAAAAATTATTGTATATTAAAATAAACAACTCACATTGGCAGCTTGAATTACTAAAAATAAAGTGTATTCCTATGTATACAGCATTTTGTCAAGATCAGGGTCCCTTGCCCAGTTGTCATGAGTAGTCTGGTATCTTGCATAGGTATCCGTATAGTGAAGAAGACTATTCTAGTTAGATGATACTTAATTAAAACCCAAACTTTACTCTGATTACCATATCCATCAGCCCACCTGCTACCTGTGAGAGCTTTTTTTTTTTAAATCCTCACCCAAGGATATTTTTTCCATTGCTTTTTAGAGAGAATGGAAGGGAGGGAGGGCTGGAGAGACAGACAGAGATATCGATTGGTTGCCTCCCCCAGGAGCCCCAAACAGGGCCAGGGATCAAGAACCTGTGACCCCCCGGAATTGAACGCGTGACCCTTTGGTGCATAGGCGGACGCTTTGACCACTGAGCAAACCGGCCAGGGCTGTGAGAGCTGTTTTTTTTTTTTAACCTTATGCTCTTATGTGGACCCGGTTGAATGAGTTTTGAGTTTTGGTTAAAGGAAATTGGTTGTCTTTGAGATTGATCATCCTTGAGTGATTTGTCAAATCTGATTCTAAATACTCTCAGTTTATGGAGTTTATAATAACATTCTTAATAATCATAGTTATAGCTGATAATAGTTGTCCTCTTAAAATAAGCTAAGCTGAGTGTCTTACATGTATGGTTTTCTTCACCTTCCAGACAGTTGTGTGAGGTTAGTACTATTAACTCCTTTTTACAAATGGAAAAATTGAGGTTTAAGTAGCTTAACAACATCACATACAGTAAATAGCAAAACCAGTATTTGAACCCAGGTTTTTTCTAATTATATAACCTGAATCAGTAGATCTTTACTTTTAGGTTTTTTAAAAATTCACTGAAATAATACATGTTCATTATTTTTTTCCAATTATTATAAAAGACTAAGAGGTTTTAAAAGTTACCCTATTTCCCACTGATGATCGTTTGAAGTTTCTTGTGTGTCCTAGAATATTTCTGTACATATATGTATGTCTGTCTTAAATTGGGCCATACTATGCATTTTGCATTTTTGTTTTAACAGGCTATCTGGGACATCCTTCTAAATGAACACTTATAAATCTATAGCATTTTCTTTTTTAAGGGTCATATAGTATTTCATTGTTTGGAATGTTGGTTCACATTAGGATGTTAACAGGTTTTTGCTGTTATAAGTCATTGAGCAGGTCCCTAACAGTCTATTTAAATAGAGGAGATAGAGTACAGCTATATTTTACAAGAGAGAAAACTGACGTTTTGGAGGCACCCTGTTACCTGGCTCTTTACACCACATCACATTACATCATTATTATGAAAGTATTTGAGCTCTCTGTGAAAGCTCAAGGTGAGGGGGAATTCTCAAGATTAGGCACGTTTAGTATAATGAATGCAAGAGGATTAAGTTGTAGTGAGGTAAAGGATTATGCTTCTACTTTTTCATATTTTATTTACTATGATTTATATATAGCATATGTACAGAATATTTTTGCATACATAAATTAATCATGTCCAAGTATCTTTTTTTAAAATGTATTTTTTTATTGATTTCAGAGAGGAAGGGAGATAGAAACAGCAATGATGAGAGAGCATCATTGATTGGCTGCCTCTTGCATGCCCCTTACACTGCACCGGGGATGGAGCCTGCAACCTGGTCATGTGCCTGAGTGGGAATCAAACCATGAGCCACATCAGCTAGGCATTTCCAAGTATCTTGGAAGTTTGTGTTTTGTGTAATGAAGTGGTTTAGGGCAGAATTTTTCCTATTTTAATAAAATTATCAATGAAATACGATAGCAATGAAATAAAAAAGTAAGAGGTTCATTATGGTCCTGGAAAACAACTTGGAAAGAAAATTGAAACACTGGTAAATTTTTAAAAATGAACTAAAAATACCTCATTAAAAAGTTTTTAAATAATCTTAGCAGGCACTGTTGATTACTTTTTATTATTTTTGTCTATCAGGAAGAAAATAAGTTTTGGGTATTTATTTATTGGGTTCTTTAAAAAACAAAAAGGTAGTCTATTTTATTTTTTTTAAATATATTTTTATTGATTTCAGAGAGGAAGGGAGAGGGAGAGAGAGATAGAAACATCAGTGATGAGGACGAATCATTGATCGGCTGCCTCCTGCACACCCCGCACTAGGGATCAAGCCCACAACCCAGACATGTGCCCTTGACTGAATCAAACCTGGGACCCTTCAGTCCTCAGGCCAATGCCCTATCCACTGAGCCAAACCAGCTAGGGCAAAGGTAGTTTACTTTAGACACTTAAAAAATTAAAATCATTAAAGCTTTAAAAAGGTTTAGAATTTGGTATCCATAAAATCTGCTTCTTGATGAAATGCTGTGTTTAGTTGTACATTAAGTGGAGTCTGTCATATTTGAAAGAGCAACTAAGGTGATTTATTCCTTTGTTAATAAATATGTCCAGTGTTTGAGTTTTCTATGAATGATGAGCTTTATTTCTTAAAGCTAATATTTTTATAAATATTAATAATTGTAAATTTAAAAAATTGATTATATGATGGCTACCTAACACATTTTTTAAAAAGCTTACCAAGTTTTGTTTTTGGTTTTTATTGTTGACCTTACTAAGTGCTTAATAAATACGTTTAAACACTTCTGTTTCATATTGTGTCTCTTTAGTGTGGCATGAAAAGAAGGTTAAAGGCATATTTTCAGTTTTGTGAATTTAGAGAATGTTCAGTTTTTTACTAGATGGATGTATGTTGTTATTCCTAAGGCACATCTGTTTATTGACAAGATTTTGAATTTGAAAATGGGTTCTTGGCTTTTTAAAATATTTCAGTGTGGATCTGTGTCATAGTTGATTCATCGACAATGATAACTCTTTCCTTACTAGGTTCCCTTTTTCATCTGGACTTAGGGCTGTATTGAGGAGAAAGTGAAAATGAAAATGAAAGTTTTTTATATTCATACAGTTTCCATTTTTAATCATAGGAATATATTATTATTCGAGTTTATATTATACCTTCTGAAATGTTGATAGAATTCCCACACAATAACTCAACTCTTTTCTTTTGTAATGTGAAGTAAGAAAGCACAAGAATTATTTCACCTAAGCGACTTGAGGAACTCCTGAGGCCTAATAGACTGTCATGTTAAGTATAATTAGATTCTCAGATTTCAGTCTGAATACTTTTTAGAAGGTTAAAAATATATATGTGGGTAGGTGTTTCTTGACTTTTTCTTCATAGCCTGCTTTATCCTTACCTTGATAGACAAACATTAATTTTTAATGTAAGGGCAGAGCATTTTTCTGCCATAGAACATGCTATTTCTTATTTTGGTATAACTTATATTCAAGGGCCTTGAAATATATAAGTAGATATTTTAAATTTAAGAACTGTGTGGCTTCCTGAGATTTTGTGGGTACAGCAAAATTTAGCTCATCAAATTGATTTGAGATGAAGAAGAAAATTAAGAAGTGTCATATGGAGAGTTGCGCAGTGGCATTTTGGCCATAGCCAAGACAGTATTACATCTGTTGAGTTTTGTGTTTCTGACATCTTAGTTGTGGAGTCTTAAGAAAGTTGTACATTAAACAAACAAAAAACACACCCAAAAACTTTTTAAAATAAGCATTTAAAACACTTTTAAGTTGTGAAACTTGTTATAAAGAAAAGACCATAAAACCTAAATGTACAGTACAAACAAATAATTAGAAAGTGAACATCATGTAGGCCCCACCCAAGTAATAAACTCTTTAAGAAAAGCTGCAGAAATAACCCCATTAGGGTAGCTGGTATTGACTTCCTGGTATTTGGACTTTAGGAATAAAAGTATGCTGAAAAATAACCTAAAAATTAATAGCCCTGAGGGTTCAGCGGATGTGAAAACTGAACGACCAGTTTTTTTATGTTATTATCAAAAGGATTATCTAGACCAGTGGTTGGCAAACCGAGGCTCTCGAGCCTCATGTGGCTCTTTGGCCCCTTGAGTGTGGCTCTTCCACAAAAGGGCGCGCACGTACAGTGTGATTGAAATTTCGTGGCCCATGCGCTGAAGTTGGTTTTCGGTCTGGGCGAGTCTATTTTGAAGAAGTGGCATGTATTGGTTCGTCGGGCGACGGGAGGGAAAGCAAAGGTGAGAGACATAAGTAAAATCAGAGTGTCTAGGAAATATGCCTTTAACCTTCTTTTCATGCCACAAGAAGTGGGGGTGTCGGTTCGTCAGGCGATGGGAGACACAGCACAGGCAGGCTGCGGGATACGCAGCGCAGGGGAGGCACACGCAATTCATGCACGAGTTGAGTGAGACTGGCTACAAGACGAGTGTGGATGGGAGAGTTGGAAGGGGTCGACCTCAGTGCACGTACCTCAGTCAGATTGAGGACGTTTTTAGCAAAGGCCAGCTTAGGAGTACCCTAATTAAGTTAATAACAATGTACCTACCTATATAGTTTAAGTTAAAAAATTTGGCTCTCAAAAGAAATTTCAATCGTTGTACTGTTGATATTTGGCTCTGTTGACTAATGAGTTTGCCGACCACTGATCTAGACAGTTAAACAAGAATAGCTTTCTTGCATTTAGTGTAATCATTTAGTGATTTGAAACCTTGGGCTGTATTAATAAATATGAAACAAAAATAATACTGCATGAGGCCCTCCCGCATTAAGGGTCTTAGATTTGATTCCCAGTCATGGGCTTATACCTGGGTTGCAGGATCATCCAGTCTAGGTGCATCCGGGAGGCAACCAATCTATGTGCCTCTCACATATCTCTCTCTCTCTCTCCCTCCCTCTCTCTCCTTTCCTCCCTCCCTCCCTTTCACTCTCTCTAAAAATCAATGGAAAAAAAATATCCTTGGGTGATTACTAACATCAAAAAATTCCAAATCCTACAAGAATTATGCCATTTTATACAAAGTATTATTTATTCGGAATTCATCTCTTTTGCATTTAAAAAAAATTTTTTTTCATTAATTTCAGGGAGGAAAGGAGAGGAAGAGGGAGATAGAAGCCCTAATGATGAGAGATTATCATTGATTGACCACCTCCTACACACCCCACACAAGGGATCGAGCCCTCAACCCAGGCATGTGCCTTGACCAGGAATCTAGCCATGAATTGAACCGTGACCTCCTGGTTCATAGGTCAATACACAACCACTGAGCCATGCTGGCCAGGCTCTTTTGCATTTTTTTATAGGATTTAGTGACTTGCCTATAGATTACTTTGCAAACTCTAATCTTTTAGACTTTTGCTTAGAACATGTCAAATTTGCCTATCCTATATATTAAAAGAGGAACATGTAAATTGACCATCCCTCCGCTATGCTCACCAGCCAATCAGGAGTGAGTATGCAAATCAACCCAACAAAGATGGCGGGTTAATTTGCATGCACAGGTGCCAGGCGGAGAATAGAGCTGGAGAGCCGGCAGAGAGTGGAGTGGTTTGGGGAACTTGGCTCCCCAAGCTGCCAGACGGAGAACAGAGAGGGAGGCTGTGGGACAGAGACAGAGCAGGAAGGGAAAACCAAGAGCTCAGGGAGCACCAGGAATTCTGGGAATAGTTCTGCTGGCAGCCCCAGGACCTGAAGCGAAAGCCCAGAGCGCAGGGAGTACCAGGAATGCTGGGAATCGTAGTTCTGGTGGCAGACGGATCTCCTAGACACAAAAACAAAGTGAACCTGGAGCAAGTTACTGTTGCGACAGTGGGGGATGGAGAGAAAGCAAAGGTGAGAGACATAAGTAAAATCAGAGTGTCTAGGAAATATTAAAGGGAAGACATCCTAAAACTTCCAGGAAATCTCCACCAATGAAGCAAAGAAAAAAAGAGCCTCTATTCTGTGAGCAACAAACCAAACTGGGTTGGGGGGGGTGGTCTCAGACAATTCGCTCATATGATTGCAAAGACAGACAGAAACTCCTGGATTGGAGAGGGCTCCCAGATTGGAGAGGGTGTAGGTCGGGCTGAGGGACCCACCCCCAGTGCACGAATCTTCATGCACCGGGCCCCTAGTATATATATAAAATCCTAAGCGACCGTTTGACCGGTAGCTATGACACGCAATGACCACCAGGGGGCAGATACTCAACACAGGAGCTGGAACCAAAGAGGAAGCAGCCCAATTCCGGGGTGCGTCACCCAAGAACTGCCCTCTCGCAATCAGGGACCCCTCAGGGGATGTCAGAGAGCCAGTTTCAGCCCAATCCCCACAGGCCAGACCGAGGAACCCCACCAGTGCATGAATCCGTGCACCAGGCCTCTAGTCCTGTATAATAATGAGGTAATATGCAAATTGACCCCCACACCGTAACACTGACAAGATGGCAGCATGCACAGCGGAGGCGGGGGCAGGGCCGGTGGCCGCTCTGCGCATGGGGGTCCTGGCAGCCACTTGCACTGCTTCTGCCAGGGTTTTTGCAGCCCCACATGCGTGCCGCGGGGGCGGGGCCTGGCGGCTGCTCTGCACAACCCAGAGGCAGGGCATTGGGGCAGCACTCCAGGACTCGGGGGCCATCCTGTGGGGTGCCAGCAGGGAGGGTTGGGGTGGGGGGTCCGGGGTTTCGTGCAATTTCTCACAAGGGGTCACTAGTAGTACTAATAACCTCCTAATTTGTTTCTTATTTTATAAAAACAAGTTTGATTTTCTTGCTTTCGCATTAAGTAATCAGTAGTGACAATCTCTGTTTGACTCTTCATCCTTGGTGCCTCTGCTAGATTCTCACCTTTTCTCTATTTTGGCTAGGTGAACCACATTTCTTTTGAAACTGAAGAACCTTATTGATTGGGTTTCCTAGACTATTTTTTTAAAATATGTTTGGAAAAGGTAAATGTTGACTTTTGAGGATTTTGATAGAAAAAGTTGACAGTTCGCGCCCCCCTGCCATCTGCCCCCTCTTCCAAATACAGTCTATTTGCATAAAACTGCAGTGTGGACTTTGAGAAAGACTTTTTTTTTTTTTTTTAAATATATTTTATTGATTTTTTACAGAGAGGAAGGGAGAGAGATAGAGAGTCAGAAACATCGATGAGAGAGAAACATCGACCAGCCGCCTCCTGCACATCCCCCACCGGGGATGTGCCCGCAACCCAGGTACATGCCCTTGACCGGAATCGAACCTGGGACCCTTCAGTCCGCAGGCCGACGCTCTATCCACTGAGCCAAACCGGTTTCGGCAGAGAAAGACATTTTTATAACACTTCTACATACATAAATTTAAAGCCTTTATTTGGTTATTATAATTTTGTAAGTTTAAGCTTTCTTCGTGTTTATGATTTCTACAGGATCCTGATACATTAGGATGTAGTATTTCATGTTTGACTGTGGTGAGTAACTACTATAAACTTGAATTCCTTTCTGTAATGCAATAGAATGGTACTCTTTTTTTTTTTATTTGAAGGTTAAAGATATGCCTTACTAATTTCCCCCTGAAAAGATGTTGAGTTTTCCTAAAAGTGGAAGCTAACATGAATTGATATACTTATTTTTTAAATCTAAATTAGGTAGTTTACTTTGTGTCTGAAAAAGTTACCGTAGGGTTTCTGTATTGTTATCACCTGCACAATTATGCATTAGTCATTAGAATACATTTTTTTGCCCCACTGGTATGGCTCAGTTGAGCGTAGTCCAGGAGGTCAGGGCAAATGCCAGGGTTGCAGGCTCAATCCCCAATATGAGGTGTACAGTAGGCAGCTGGTCAATATTTCTCTCTTCGATGTTTCTGTCTCTCTCTCCCTCTCCCTTCTTATCTGTGAAATAAAAGCATATTTTAAAAAATAGAAAAGAAATTTTTTTGGGTGACTGAGATATTGTTAGTTAAGGTTAAGATATTGCAAACATATACATACATGCACACACATAATATCCCTAAGAAATGTGATGGCCCTTTTAATTTTTATCTTTTAATGGAAAATTTGCACTTTCCAAAGTGGCCAGTAGTTTAAAAATAACATTTGTTATGTTTATGAAAGGATGGTTTATTGTAGGGAAATTGAAAACCATTTAAAATCGCCTAAAATGTTACCAACTGGAAGTAACTACTATTAACACTTTGTTCTATATTCTTCGTGGGGTTTTTTTGTTATCTCTACAGTATTGTATTTTCTTTACAAATTGAAATTGTACATTTGTATTATTTTGTAACATGCTTTATTGTGAAATAATATTTTGAGAATGTAGTCTTAAGAATTGTTAACATTTCATTGTAACGAATGTTTACCCTTCTTCTGTTGATGGTATTTTAGGCAGGTTAGAACATGGGGATATTATCATTTGAGACATATTTATACATTTAAAAAAAAAAAACCACTGTATGACTGATATTTTATTATAGTCAATTCCTGGAAGTAAAATTACTTTAGAAATATGAACATTTCAGCCTGGGCAGTGTAGCTCAGTGGTTGATTCTCTCATCATTGATGTGTCTGTCTCCTCCCTCTCTGAAATCAGTAAAAATATATTTTAAAAAATAAACATTTCAGAAGCTTTTGACACACATTTTCAATTTGTTCTCCAGAAAGTTTTTTAAAAATAAGTTTTATTGAGAAATAAATCACATACCATACAATTCACCCATTTAAAGTGTGCATTGCAACAGAGAGAGTGTTGTATGCATTTTAAAATATTTTTTTTCGTTCAAATTTTATTTAGAACTACTTTGTTTTAGAAAATGTTTATAAAAATTATGCTATGCCTATATAATTAATTGTTGCAACCTTGTTACCATTTGGAAAGTATGGTTTTGTTTTTTTAAGAGAGATTTGCTTTGCTCTGACTGACCTTCACCCTGACAGTTGTTCTATTTGCCATAAGCCATTTAATTAAACATCTTTTTTTTTTTTTTTTAACTCAGTGGTCAGTGGAGTGTAGGCCAAGAGCCAAGGAAATCTGAGTTCCTGTCCCCACTGTACCTTTTACCTCTGATGCTCAGAATTCTTATCTCTGAAATAGAGATGAAAATGACTATTTTTCTGGAGTTACAGGGATCTAAATTAGACGTGCTAGAGTGTGCCTAGAGCTTTATTCAGCGGCAGTGTCATAACAGTGGGGTTTATCTCAGGCATGATAGAGTATGATGTTTAGAACTGTAACAGGCATATAGGTGATAATAAATGACTCTTTTTTAAAAAATATATTTTATTGATTTTTTACAGAGAGGAAGGGAGAGAGATAGAGAGTTAGAAACATCGATGAGAGAGAAACATCGATCAGCTGCCTCCTGCACACTCCCCACTGGGGATGTGCCCACAACCAAGGTACATGCCCTTGACCAGAATCAAACCTGGGACCCTTGAGTCCACAGGCCGATGCTTTATCCACTGAGCCAAACTGGTTAGGCATAAATGACTTTTTAATATAAGAAAACTAACATGCAAAATGAACTAATTTTTAGTTGCACATTTAATGGATGAAGAAATAAACTCAGTTGGCTCAAACTCACTTTCATAGAACTTAAAAGTTGAAAGTTAACTAATGCATGATCAGAATGTTTGCATGGGTTATGTGGGCGTTGCTCAGTTGGTAAGAGAATTCGTGCTGGTACAAGTATAAACATGAAGTTAATTTTCCAGTCCAAATTTGCTTACACTGTTGTTATAACAACAGCATGAAGGCTACAGCTTCACCAACACTTAGTCTTCTGATTAAGCAAATAGGTGATAATGTACATTTTGAATTTATGGTATGAAGTTACTTACGTTCTGACTTTTATTGCTTATTTTAAAATGAAATGTTGAATACAGTTGAACCTAAAACACTAAAGTGCTAAACCTGATGAAACAAAAAAAAAACCTGGTCTTTACAGGAAAGATAAACTTAGTATATATTATTTTAGATATTATGATCAGTTGCTTAGTACTTTAAAAACTACATATAACTTATTCTTTTTATATCTTGCTATGGGGAATGAAGACTACAGTGGAAAAGAAAGTAAAATTTGAACATTTGCGAAGTTTTAAGAACCAAACTTAAAAAAAAAACTGAGAAAACATCTTATCTATATATATAAAAGCCTAAGCAACCTTTACAACCGGTCAACCGAACAACAGGTTGCTATGACAACACTGACCACCAGGGGGCAGACGCTCAACGCAGGAGCTGCCCCCTGGTGGTCAGTGTGCTCCCACAGCCAACCTCCCGTGGTCCCTCCCCCCGGCCAGCCGGCCCCTATCCACCCCAGTTGCCATCCAGGTTGTGGGACCCCAGACGTGCACAAATTCATGCACCGGGCCTCTAGTTTTACAATTTAAGTGTGTTGGGGAAAGAGGTAGGAAAATATGTGGGTGAACTTGTTAGTTTACTAGATTTCATAGTGAATAGAACAGGATGACTGATGTGTTACTTAGTTTGTAGTAATTTTCAGTGTGAGACAGTACCTTGATGTAAGGGACTGTAAATTTTCTTCAAGTGGTAATAACACGTCTGTTCTTGATGGGTGTGGTCAAGAATTAAGTGAAGAAAGTTGAGGTTAAGCCAAATAGATAAAGAAAATAGGGTGAAATAGGCTGTTCTATTATTAAGTTTTATATTGATACAGGCAGTTCAATAGTAATGTGGTTTAGGTAGGAAAAAATAAGATTGACAAAGCAACCAAAATGGTGTGTAACTTAGTGGAATCATGGTCAAATGAAAATTGTGTGATTGTATTTAGTGATAAGGTTTCTGGTTCACCAAAATCAGATATAGATTTTTGAATTTTATAATTATGTTTCATTTCATGCAGGTCACTTCCTCATATAGGATATTTTAATATCCTTGATCATTTTCCTTTTAGCACATTTTTAGTAGAAACATTTTATGTGTAAGTTTCAGAAAATATTTGGGGTGACAATAATAGAGTTAAGCAGATTCTGGAGTAGTACCGTTAATGCTTTTAAAAATAGTGTTGCTCTAGCCCTGGCCAGTGTGGCTCAGTTGGTTGGGTGTTGTCTGAGAGGCCACTAATTCAGTTCCCAGTCAGGGCACATACCTAGGTTGCAGATTCAGTCCCCAGTTGGAATGTGTACAAGAGGCATCTGATCTCTCAAATCAATAAAAACATATTTAAAACTTAAACTTTTTAAATTACATGGAATACTTGACAAAACTATTAAATCATTTTACTATAGCCATACCTTAGAAGCCTCTGAAACAAAGAGGACTCGATAGAAAATAAAAGACATGTGTGATGATTATGTCTTCACTTCTTTTCCTCCAATCTTTCTATATGATTAATTCCTGGTTTTTATTCCATTAAACCTTTTTATAACAATATAGCCCCCCAGTCACTGTATCATATTACCCTGTTTTATTAGCTTAACACTTTCTGAAATTTTCTTTTTCATGAGACCAGAATCTCTTTCCTTTGATTTTCTAGGACCTAGAACAGGGTCTGGTACATTGTTGGTGTTCAGTAATGAACTATGTCATAAACAAAACCAAAATTTAAAAAAAGGACTCTATGAGGACTAAGATATATATCTGGAGTATCATACCACTTGGAGTCTGGGAATAGGCAAGGTGAGACTCAGCTTTTGATTATTTACTTAGAGAATTATTTACTTGGTGATGTTGATTTGGGTAATTTAAGATGACTAGTTACGATTTCATATAGAAATGTTTCTCTGGGAACTCTTATTTTTAAAAGAAACTTTTGTCCAGACACACACATGTACTAACTAAATCCTGTCCACTTAAAATGCAATGGAGTTGACAAAATGGACACAAATATGAGAATATATATCCATGGTCAGTTTTTGAGTAGCTTCATTTTCTAATCTCTTAGGCAGAGATTAAGGAATTTACTGAAAGTCATTTGTATGCCATTGGTTGAACTAGAAAGGAGAACTGCCAAGTCCTTATTTTCCAGTATATTGTTTTGACTTACGATCTATGAATGAACATCACTGTGTAGCAGACATAGTCACTTTAACTGATACAAGCAATATTTGGCTGATACTGGTTTGAGTTATCTGAGAGTAGTTGGAGATCAAATTTTTCTTGTAGTAAATATTTCTTATAGTAAATTAGTGTATAATTCTGATTTTGAAATGCCAACATGGTAAGTGTAGAAAGGACTTTATTTTTACTTATCTATTGCTACACATTTTAAAATAGCTAAACAATGTTTTAAGATGTGAACAAAAGCCTTTTTATTTATTTTTGTAAAATAAATTTCCACTTAGAGGTTATTCATTAGGAAAACTATTGGCTTAATATAGTTCTTTTGGATAGTTATAAGGGTTTTTCTTTTTTAACTTTAACGACTATATGTTTAAATGAACAGACTTTGAAAAATGGTTATTATAGTGCTGTCTTTACCACTGCAAATTTTCTCCTCCCCTACATATTTTTGTGAAAATCAACTACAAAATCCATGTGACCCAGAGATTTCAGTTGTTAGGAATCAAAAATATTAAAAATTTTAGTAGTAAAAGGACCCATAATCTTTTTTTTTTTTTTTAGCTTGGCCAATAAGTTTATTATTGTCTTTATTTGAAATATCATCATAGAAAATTGTGGTTGGTTTTTTAGCTCTTAGCAGCTCGTTCCTGAGCTCTGAGGAAGCTTGCCTTCTTCTGAGCTACCCAATCTTTCTTCTGCTTAGTTTGGTTTTGTGTTGGACATATAAATAATCAAAGTGCAGATATTTTCTAGCTTTATTCATGACCTTTCTTAGGAAGGAAAAAGCAAATCTGTACAATCAGTTCTAAATGCATGGTGTTAACAAACAGCCCATGGGATTTCAGCAATACTAATTACATAATGGCTATTAGTTCATATTTAATTTTTCAGTTGTTAATCCAGTCCTATGGCCCCTTAACTGTAGTACTCCATTCTGTTTATGATTGATTTGTTTATTGATAATGTGCCAGGTATTGTAGTTGGCCTGGGGATTCAGAGATGAAGTAGTCTTATGTCCTCAAAATAAACTTCAGTCTTTCTATATTCTCTGGCATCTAATTTGTTTTTACTTTCCTGAATTAAGTTGTGTGCTTTCATTAAATACTTATAATTTTGTTTTGTAACATATCAAGAAAGGTCTTTCTAATAATAAACTAGATCATTTTGAAGCTGTGATGTTAAGAAGCCAAGAAAGTTTTAAACGGAATTGAAAATGCTTTTAGTTTAATGTGGGGAAGGCACTCCTCTCCCTTCCCACAGGTTAGGACTTTTTGTTTCCTAAGCCTGGAAATGTTGGAGCTCCCTTGCATCCTCTCTGTTCTCACATCACCTAGCTTCTCAACCCGAAAGTTTTCTTTTGTCATCCAGGGCACTTGTCCCTTTCTCTCAGCAGGCCTCTGTCTTCCTTATCTTTTATCTCTAGTCCTTAGGATTAAACATAATACAGGCACTCAATATGAAATGAATAAACAAACCTTACCAGAAGCAATTTCTGAGCCTCATCTCCTGCACTTTTCCTTTATTGCTTTCCTGTCTCCAGTAATAATGTATGATTGTAGGAAGCATGCCTAAATTTTCATCCCTGTAACTATTGTGCTTAGTCCAGTGTCTGGTAAATAGTAGGTGTTCAATAAATATTTTATTAGAGAAGCCTGTGTAGGTTGGGATGGGGACAGCCTGGCTGTAACTTTTGGTCTCCTTCCCAAAACTTAGCAGCAGCAGAATGAGAAGGAGGGAGGAGCTGGCATGAACCTTAGCCCAACATTGCCTCAGCCTACAGAGGGCAATTAACAGACAGCAGCTGGTATCCAGAATTGATGTAATAGAGTATTTTGCTATTATTTCTTACACACAGATGTTTTAGGATCATGTTCATTTACACATACGCTCACCCTTCCTTTAGGTCAAGATGGCCCTGTACAATGTATTAAGTGTTATGGTAGAGTAGAGGTAGAATGCTATGCTAGCAGGAGAGGGTACTTGACCTGCCTACAGAGGGTGTGTGATGTGTGAGGGGGCAATCTGGAAAAGTTTCTTGGAATATTTTAACACATCTGAATAGACTAGACTCTTAAAGGATGAGTGGTTGATGAGAGGAAATGTTAGATTGGTGGAGGGCAAGGTGGGAAAGCTGAAGCAGCAGCAGGAGAGGAGGCTGAACAAGGAGCCAAATCAAAAAAGATCTTCTGCTTTTGGATGTTCATCCTAAGGCATGGAGAGCCATGGAAGGTTATTAAATTTGTGGGTTGTTGTTTTTTTCTGTTTTTCTTTTTAAGTTCTGTCAGTGCTCTACAGAGCAGATTGGAGGTGGACAATTTCGGAAATAGGCAGAACAGTTTGGAAGCTGTTGCTCTTATCCAGATGAGAAATGATAAGGCAGAACTGATGAACATAGTACAAACTGGGAACATTTGCAAGAAAGTTGGGGAAGGGCCCTAACTAGTTTGGCTCAGTGGATAGAGTGTTGGCCCGTGGACTGAAGGGTCCCGGGTTCAATTCTGGTCAAGGGCATGTACCTTGGTTTCAAGTTCAATCCCCGGTAGGGGGCATACAGGAGGCAGCTGATCAATATTTGTGATCAATGTTTCAAACTCTGTCCTCCTTTCCTCTGTAAAATCAATAAAATATATATTTTTTAAAAAGTTGGGGGGTAGAACTTGGCTTTTTTTTATGCATTGTATTTATCCTCTCCCAGTCTGGGGGCTTGTCTTTTCACTTGTTTATCTTTTGGCATACAGTTTTTAAAATTAATACTGTTGAGTTTATTATTTCCTTTGGCTCATACTCTTTATGCATTGTTTAAGAAATCCTTCCCCACCTTGAGTTCATAAAGATGTATTCTTGTTTTATGTTTTTTCTTAAAAGTTTTTAAGTTTTACTTTTCATATTTGGTCTTTAAACCACTTGGAGTTTGGTATATTATACGGTAAAGATCTAATTTTTTTCTATATTGATAAGCCATTTTCTAGTACCATTCTTTGTATCTTCTGTCCTTTCCTCACTAATATCTAGTTCTTCTGTTATATACTAAATTCCTATATAGGCTTGGTCTTTGTCAAGGATCTTACTCTGTTTCATTGTCTGCTCCTTCACCAGTACCTCATATTTTATTTTTATGTGTGTGTGTTTTTTTGTTTGTTTTTTAAATATATTTTATTCATTTTTTTTTTTTTTATAGAGAGGAAGGGAGAGGGATAGAGAGTTAGAAACATCAATGAGAGAGAAACATCGATCAGCTGCCTCCTACACACCTCCCACTGGGGATGTGCCCGCAACCAAGGTACATACCCTTGACCAGAATCGAACCTGTGACCCTTCAGTCCACAGACTGACGCTCTATCCACTGAGCCAAACCAGCCAGGGCTATGTGTGTGTTTTTTTAAAATATATATTCATTGATTGATTTTTATTTTTTATTTTTTAGTGTTACAGACTTTATTTTCCCCCACACTATTCAGCTACTGGCTTAATTTAATTTTTTAATTAATTGTATTGGGGGTCACATTGGTTAAAAGGACCATACAGGTTTCAGGCATAGATTTCTATGATGCAAGATCTGTATATTGCATTCTATGCCCACCACCCAAAGTCAAATCATCTTCCAACACCATATATTAGGCCCAATACCTCATATTTTCATTACTGTAGCTTTATAAGTATAAAGTTTATTTTAAGCACATTTAATGTGTGTGTTTACACCAGTAATTTTTTGAATGGATATTGTGCACTATTGTTGAGAAACATGTAACTGCTTTCTTGATTTCTTTTGGAGCATGTTTTAAAAGCTGTAATTTACATACTAGACAATTCACCCTTTATAGTATACATTTCTGTGGTTTCATCACCACAAAAAGAGATCCTATATCCATTGGCAATCACCCTCCATTTCTCTCTCCTCTAGCCCCTGGCAGCCTCTAATCTTTCTCTCTACAGATTTTCCTATCCTGAACATTTCATATAAATGGAAATATACAATATGTAGCCTTTTGTGAGAACATTCTTATTTAAATTGAGTAAAATTGGTAGATTAACAGGGCATTCTATAGGAATATTACTGTGTCTTTTAGAAAGTATGACAAAATACTGTGCCTTAAAAGGAGGAAGAAGAGTAAATACCACCAGTATTTATTTCTGCTTTGCTTTTATTGTTTAAGCATCGAATCTATATTTTATTGAAGAGAATGGTCAATTTTATGCTTTTGCTTAGTTCCTCAGTGAGCAAATGTCTTGTAGCAAATCCTGTTGTAGAAGAGTATCTTCTAATGATACCTTTTGGGTTTATTGTATATAGACAGAGTGAGAGCACTTTGATTTGGATGCATGCTGTTAGTGATTATACTAAAGTGGCATGAATTGCTTTATGTCTTGTGGATAAGTGAGTACAATCATGTGAAAATATAAAGGGAATATATTCTGTCCTGAATAATTTTTAAAACAAGCAGATTTTCCACTTTAATGTAGAAATTAGTCAGTAGCTTAGAGTCCTTTTTAAAAGGCTACCTCGGAAAGTACCTTTAAGTCAAGATACCCACCCAGATAAGGTTTACTAATACAGAACATTTACTTAACATACTAAAATACTGTAAGCCCTTTGTCATTTGGAGAACTGATATTTT